AAAATAAGATATTTGTTCAACACAAAAGAGATCTAGAGGTAAGCTGCACGGATCAGGGAAGGCTCCTTCAATTCTAGTACATTGTGGAGGATATTTGAGGCTCCAATTGGGAGGAATACGATATAGACATAAAAGTGGTTCCATTTTTGATGTTAATGAAGCTTAATTTGTATTTCATTCATCAATCGAGTGAAATGAATTACTTATGCGCCCATGCAATAACAATGCAACAACTAATTCCAATTACAATGCCAACGGTAATTTAAATAATAACATTTGGAAGTATTCATGAAGGAAAAACAATGTGTGGCACCTGATTTGCTGAAAATCCCAAATATTTATGGATTTATCACCCAGCCATAAGCTAATCGACCTTTCAATAAAAAAACATGAATAAAAAACCATTTAATTCGAGAAAAGACAATGCAAACTATTGGCTCCAAGTGGAAATCAATATCGGACTGAATTCTGTATAATTAATGCCCAAATAGGCCTAGTTTCCCCAACTGGATGCCACAAGAACTCCTTCCTTAATTAGGCCTTGCCAAAAACCTTCAATGATTCACTTTTTGAACTAATTTTATACTTCGTTTAACTCTATTCGATGGCTGGACCTATTCGATACACAATTTTAAGCCTCCCCCATGAGCACATCCATCCAGTGAACGTTTTATTTCCGACCTTCAGCTTCAGATGCCTCTTAAAGTCTTAAAACACACGGCATCCATCGACATCTGTCCGCTTAAGGCGCCACTGGAGCTCTCTCCCGGGTCTCGTGTTACCGAGCTTTCATGTTTGCCCCCCTCCTGCTGCTCCTGCTCGTCTCCGCAGAATCACGGCCCCGCATCGCAGAGCTCCCTGCTCCATCCCCGCGGCCACTATCGATGTGGTTCTCTGCGGCCCAATTTTTTAAACTACAAGTCTCCTAAAATGTGAACTAGGCGTGTAGTCAAGCCAAATGATTGATGAAAAATCTGCGTGTGTACACAACTTGCCACTCAACACGGCACACACACGCACACATTCGTACCTCACAGCCACACATCACACACACAGTTACACAGATACATGACCACTTACGCCCACTTAGACACGCCGCGTTCTGGTTGTTGGCCCTCTGTGTTTTTTTTGGGCTTTGGGCCCTCTCTCTTTCGTTTTTGGGAGTGTGTGTGCTGCTGCTTTCTCCAGTTGTTAGTTTGGCAGAAAAGTTTTCTTTTCCCCGCCCCCTGGGGCCAAAATTGAATGATAAGGAGGGAGGGACCTTGGGGAGGGAGGAAATGACTAAAAGAAAAGTTTTTCTTTTGGCCAACTGATTGATAGCAGTGCAAATGTTAATTGCATAAGGATAGGGCAGTGTCAGGATGTGTGGCTGAAAAAGGGGGCGATAATAGCTGGGGCGACGAGATGGGCTGCTGTGACTGACACCGAAAACTACGGAAAACTGCAATTTCTGTATGAAAAGCAGTGGAACGAAATCTGAGCACAATGAAATGGCAATTTAAGTCGAGAGTATAATTAAAATTTAATTATCGCAGCAGCAGCAACAACAGCCACATCAAAATCCAACAATAATTGGAAAAACCACCACACAAACACACCGATACAGATACAGATACACAGAAACACACAGATACAGACGCAGCTGGAACAACAATAATATGCGTTTAAAAACGCCACGAAAACGCGCTTAAATAGCGCTCTAATTTTGCGGCCCAATCGAATCGAATCGAATAAAACAATCAGTCAAAGGACTTTCTAGCAGCAGAATAAGCAGCAAGAATAAGGCATCCAAGTGGAACGGAAAGGAATAGGAGGAAATCACCAGGGATTTTCCACAGCCAAGCCACGGCCAAGGAAAATTGCTTCGATTCGTGCAGATAACTGTCAGAAGCAACAGTTTATAAGGCAAATAACTGACATCCCGACGAAGACGAAAAACGAAAAGGAAAACTGCAAGACGGATAGATCCCAAATCTTGAGTGGAAAATTTCTGCCTTCATGTACCAACAATTTATGTACACATTTTCCTTGCGAATTATTCGGTTTTCACAACTTTAAAAATGCATTTCCATAATTTTCTTTTGAAAATCAAATGAAAATAAGAATGTTTTAGTTTCTAAATGAAATAGAGACGAAACTCCCCGAGTTTTTGTCTCTGGCCAAACATTTTGTGGAAAATTCGAATGAAAACATATCCGATGATAGCAAAAAAAAAACAAAAATAAATCAACGAAAATTTTATCAAACGAAATAGATTTTTGTGTTTGATATCCGCAAACTATTTCTGTGTAAATAAGTGGCTGAGAAACAGTTTTGATTTGCTTTTGCCTTAAAAACTAATGTAAATTACGAGAACTACAATTTTGGCATTCAATTTGGGACACAAATTAATTTCGCACAGAAATACCTCGTCTAAATGGTCCGAAATTATTTTGATTTCATTTTTCCCTTTGAGACCGAATAAAAACTAATCAAACTTTCGACAGAGAAATATCGAATATCAAATTTAATTTACTTAATTTAATAATGTCACAGACAAGATTTTCTGATGCCCTAAAAAAAAATCCACAGAAATAATAATAATAAATTTCCACATAAGTGCCAAATTTTCTCATGGCTTGCGCCCTTTCAAAGCGAAGAAAATCAACAGAAAACAAATATTCATATACACACATAAAATTACCACAATAAATACTTCCACTGGGAAACAGATTGGACATTGTTTTATTTAATTTTCGTTTGCCTTTTCGCTTTTTGACCCGAACAATTCTGCATGGACAAGTCGAGGCGCAACAATTACACGAAATGTTGAGTGAGAAAAATCGCAGCATCCTTTAAGCTGTTGCACCAGAGAGCGAGTGCAGCGAGGGATTTAAATGGGATGAAAAAAGGAGGGAAGAGGCAAGAGGCAAGAGGAAAGAGCAAAGAGAGAGGAGAAGATGGAGCAACAATTTGTGAGATTTTGTTTACCTTGGTTCTTGGTTTTTAAGCGGTTATTATTTAATTGAATTTTAGTTAGATTTCAGATGTTTCTTGCTTATTTTTATTGATGAACACACACTTTTTTTGCTGGAGCTGGAGCTGGAGCTGGAGTTTTGGGATACGCACACGGACACGGACACACACACGCAGAGAGACGCGGACACTTACACACACAGACACACACACTGGTACGCGCGGAAGAATGGCCAGAGAGTAAAACTGGAGTTTTGTTCTGGACTCAGGATTCAGGACTCAGGATGCTGGAGCGTTGTAAAAGTTATAAACTTTATTCTAAGCAATAGTTCTGTCTTTCTGTCTTTGCTGTTTTTTTTTTTGAGGGTACTCTTCCTAGCTGATTCTGGCTTCTGGCTTATCTTTTGCACAAAAACAGTTGGTTCGAACGGTACACACACGATAACGCAAGGCAGACTTTCGCGGCAGCTCAGCTCGGAGAGAAAGTGCGTCCTGTCTGGTTGTACCCTAACGAATTAATGCGCTCAACGCAGCTTTTCACACGGCCATGGACCCACGAGCACGCAGCATCCACATGGAGCATGGAGCACGAACGAAGACGAGTCCTGCGGAGACGAATCCTGTGCTGTGGCAGGCGCAAAGCTCTCGCTTGAGCTTGAACTTGAGTGAAAGCTTCCCCACTCGGCCAGTCGGCCACTCGGCTGGCTGGAATGTTTACAGTTGAGCAGAGCAACAGAGCGGCGCCAGCATCGACGCTGACTTCGACATCGGGAGCGTGGGCAGCATCCAGAGATCTGGTCAACGTCTCCACTCGTACGAGTACGAGCACGAGCACGAGCACGAGCTCGAGTATACCTGCAAAAATAATGGACACCGATGTCGGGCGGACATCGCTCTGTGCGGGAGCGGGGAGGAACTCTTATTAATGAGCGACAAGTGTGCCACGACTTCGAGTCCAACATGTGCGCGCGGCCCCTCTAGCGGTAGTTGATGAGTGCCCAATATTTTAGTTACCAGGAGACAACGACAGCTGAACCGATTTATAATGACAGAGACAAAAATCAAAGCCCGATTTGCAGGGGGAAGGGACAGGGGGAGGCACAGCAAAATGGGACTGAAGATATTGCAGAGAAATTCTAAGAACGGACAACCACTTATAGAAAGATGTCCGGCAAACCAGAGGCAAGGTTCTATTACTTTTCCACCAAGAGTGTTTTTTTTATGAAGAGATGATCCCACTTAAAGGGACTACCACGGTTCCAAAATGTATGGGATCTGATAGAGGGTAGCAGGAGAAAGCAAAAACTGTCCGCCAAAGGCACTGCCACTATCCATAAATCAGTTAAATCGCACTCCGCCCCTTATGACCTTGAAACAATCAGCAATATTCCACTCATCTACACCCCCGAACATCGCAAAACACGACCCACCGTACAGACCGCTTACAGTTTGTGTGCGGCTTACAAGCGATGAATTATAGAAACCAATAAAATTAAGTGCATTAATTTATTTGGCTCTTGTTTTTGCTGGACTTCAAAACGAAACTCGGGATTGGCTCTGCGAAAGCCAAGGGCAAAATAATCAAACAGAAGAGCAACGGAATGGTCAGAGGATTATATTGGATGCATGCTGCACAAATTTATAAATTTATATACCTGAAAGCCTCGGGCCACAGATTGAATTTGCATTTGTAAGGAGTGTGGGTCAATGCAATCTCAATTAATTGTAGACAGTGCCTAATTGTAATTGCATTAATGGGTAATTGGAGGAAAATGAATTAGACAAACGAACAAAACTAGAAATTAATAACATAAGTATAGATTTCTGTGTGTGTTGGCAAATAATTCTCTCTTTCAGTTTCAAATTCAAACACAAAAAAACCGCGCTCAAGAAGCCAGGGTTGCCACCAGCACAATCATGAGATATCTTTTCTTTTTCGGCTGTACTGGTTCATTTGAACCTGTATTTTGGTTCGATAGTATCGAACTGCTTGTTTGAATCGGTTATTTGATCTTATTAGATCTACAAACATTTACAAAACGTACCATTTTCCGCGGTTTAACTTAAGTTGCACATAAAAGGGTGTTTACGTTTTAAAAATGCTGCAACGAACATATGAGTCGTAATTTTGAATCGCCTTTTTGTCTCCAAGGTATATTAGGCAAAAGGGGTGGATTTTAACTTGCATGCGTTGAATTTTTTGGGCCGCGTTGCCTGCTGTCCACACCTTCTTATTCCTTCTATTATGTAGCAAATATGTAGTTACTGCAGTCGCCATGTAATAAATTGAGCAAATGTAAACACTGAAAAAAACACACACAGTCAAAAAAAAGCACAAAATATATCGCCTGAGGCATCTGAAAGTATAAAAAATATTTAAATAAAAACATTAATAAAATAAATAAACTTAAACTCACCATTTTTCAAATTTTTTTACTCGCGTCGCGCCTGTTTGTCGGTTGGTTTTGAATGAAAACATCGGAATCCGATAGAACCTAATATCGACATACAAGTGCACGGTTGCATTTGCCAATATTTTGCAATTCTATACTGGTATCGATAAACACCTTCACCACCAACAAAGCAACAAGGAAAAAAAATGCCGGAAGAAACGAAAAAATTCGACCTGTCTGGAGATGGTGGAGTGCTCAAGGAAATCTTGAAAGAGGGTACCGGGAACGAGACCCCGCACAGTGGATGCACTGTCTCCATGCACTATACCGGCCGCCTGGTCGATGGCACAGAATTCGATTCGAGCGTGAGCCGCAATGAGCCCTTTGAATTTGCGCTCGGCAAAGGTGAGACATGAGAATGCGGCCAAAGTCGCTGTTTCTGGAATTTTCTTTTTCGTTCTTTTCTCTTGTCTTAGGCAATGTTATCAAAGCCTTCGACATGGGAGTGGCCACCATGAAGCTGGGGGAGCGCTGTTTCCTGACATGTGCTCCCAACTATGCCTACGGCTCTGCCGGCAGTCCGCCCACCATTCCGCCAGACTCTACGCTGATCTTTGAGGTACAGAACACAGGGTAATGATTATCCAGGGCAACTATATATCTCAGTTCTCGTTTGCAGTTGGAAATGCTGGGCTGGAAGGGCGAGGATTTGAGCCCAAACCAAGACGGAAGCATTGACCGCATCATTCTGGAGCCGAGCGATAAAAAGCGGTCTCCCACCGACGGTGCCTTCGTCAAGGGTAAGTCGTGGTTTATCTAGATTCTGTGGTTGCCTTAACCTCATTCGGGGTCTGTGATTTGCAGCCCATATTTCTGGTTCTTTCGAGGGTAAAGTGTTTGAGGAACGCGATGTGGAGTTCGATTATGGCGAGGGCAGTGCTATCGGTCTGGTGGATGGAGTGGAGATTGCCCTGGAGAAGATGAACATAGGAGAGACATCCAGGTAGAGCAGAAAGATATGGGGGCTAAAAAAGAAACACCACTTTAAAATCGATTTTTCCTTAGAATCACAATTAAACCAATGTATGCCTTTGGCGTGACGGGCAATGAGGCATTTAAGATTCCACCCAACGCCACAGTCGAGTACAAGGTGAAGCTGATCGACTGCGGCAAGGGTCTGGAGGAGTGGAAGCTGAGCGACACCGAGCGCATCGACGAGGCCAAGGTGTACAAGGAGAAGGGCACCAACTACTTCAAGAAGGAGAACTGGGGCCTCGCCATCAAGATGTACACCAAGTGCAAGAATCTGCTGCCGAACAACGCCGACACCAACGAGGAGGTGAAGAAGCTAAAGGTGGCCACGCACAGCAACATTGCCCTGTGCCACCAGAAGTCCAACGATCACTTCGAGGCCAAGGTGGAGGTAAGTTCACGTAGAGCATGTGTGCCCAGAAGCATTTGAATTAATATTTAATTTTCTTCAGTGCAATGCTGTGCTCGCCCTGGAGGCCAACAATGTGAAGGCTCTCTATCGTCGCGGACAATGCAACCTGATCATCAATGAGCTGGAAGATGCCCTGGAGGACTTCCAAAAGGTTTGTCATAACACCATATAGAAAATCCTTACTTGCTAAATAAATGTTTGGTTAGGTTATTCAATTGGAGCCTGGCAACAAGGCAGCTGCCAACCACGTGGTCATCTGCAGGCAGAAAATCAAGGAGACCAAAACCAAGGAGAAAAAGCTGTATGCTAACATGTTTACCAAGCTGGCGGCCAACGACAAAGAGGTATAATATGCCTCAACGAGTAATAAACCAATAAAGCTCATCCTTTTCCATCCCCCAATTCGCTTTTCATTCGAAGACCGAGCCACCGCGCGAAACAGATGTGCTCAGTAAATGCGGCGAATGGTCCGAGGAGGACGCCAAACGCGAGGCTGATCTAACGCTTGAGCGCGACAATATAATTATGATCTAGTCGAGGACAAAGGCGATCAATTGTTTAGCATTTTAAGTACTTTTCCTAAATATTTCCACATCGAAAATCGAAAAAATCCAATAATGTAACAAGAAAAAATGGTACTTCATTATATAAAATATAGAAATAGCATTGAAACCTGTTTACCTTTTCATTTGTCTCGCAGCAGCAGCTGAAAGCTCGGCCGCAACTCCCTGTCGCGCAGCCACAGCGGCGACGTCGGCACCTGGGCCTTAATGTACTCAGAAGCGCGGAAACAATAGCCGGAGCAGAATTTCTTGCGCTCTGTGATATCGTAGACCTTGTTTTGCGATGCACTGATTTGGTACTTCTGGTTGGGTACACTGCAAGTGAGTCGGTTAGTCAGGAGCCACCTTTTGGAGCGTCCACTTACTTCTGCAAGACATTGGAGCAGAGAGGGTACCCACAGTTTCGGCTGATTTCGCGCTCATCCACAATGTCGGTATAGTGGTTGGGTGCGATTTCCCAGAGCTAGGGACGAGAAAATGTTAATTTAAAACTTGTATACCATCAAATAAACTATAAATACCATGGCCAGGAATTCCGGCTCTGCTACGTCGGGCTCCAGGAGCCTCACCACAATTTCCTGAGCCCGCGCAATTGCCGCGCGCTTTTTCACTACCGCCGCGATGAGCTGTTGCCTGCAATAGGTAATAAATTGATCATTAAACAATAGTACAAACAATGCATTTAGCATTCCACTGGTTACCGCAATTGGTCGTTCTTCTCCTCCGTCATGTTTTGTGCATTTTTTTGTTTATTTTGTAAAATTTACGAGGAGTAGCGGGCAAAAAAATGATGACAGCGATAGGCAAAAACAAATTTTATCGATTTCCAAGTACGGTCACACTCACTGCATTGCAAAATCAAAACAAATTGATAAGAAAAAAAAAATGGTTTGCGAGAAGTGCGAGGCGAAGCTGACGAAAGTCTCGGCCCCAAATCCCTGGAAAACCAGCACCGCCCCAGCCGGTGGACGCAAGATAAATGAAAACAAAGCCCTATCCTCGGCTCGGGACCGATACAATCCTATGGGCACGACCCTGGCACCTTGCCGGTAAGAAAAGACAAACCGTACGCTGGATCCAGGCTCATGAGATTGCTTATCATTTCAGCATCTGCCGACAAAAGGTCCACCAGATGGGATCCCACTACTGTCAGGCGTGCGCCTACAAAAAGGCCATATGCGCCATGTGCGGCAAGAAAATCCTAAACACAAAGAACTACAAGCAGAGCTCAACGTGATGCATCCCATGGCCAGACGACGCAAGGATTTTATGTATAAGCCTAACCTAGTTCTAGACAACAGAATAATTATATCAGATAGTATCAACAAATGCATAGATAAGTAGGTCAGGCCTCTGTCGTTGTCTTCTCCCTTCGCCGCTTGGCACCTTGCATCTGCGAGGAGTAGCTGAGCGCCTCCTTGTCGAACTCGAGCGGCATGATGCCCAGATCGCCGCTATAGCGGTTTTTGGCTATCTGCAAATACTTTTTGCCCCGCACCGATGTGAGTCGCTTGTCCTGAATGATAAGCACATTGTCCGCCTCCTGTGTGGCCTTCGCCGTGCCAAAGACGGAGCTCGTGGTGAGGTCATCTTCCTGGCGCTCCTTGCGCGGATGCATGACTAGCGTGACATGGACATTGTGCTTGGTGGCGAAGCTGCGAAAGGCTGCAATAATGGCATCCTGCTCCCAGAACTTGTCACCGCGAAATGAGGAGACTCCCATCATAAACTGAAGGTTGTCGATTATCACATGCATCACGTCGTGTACGTAGGACGCGTGCTCGATGGCCTCCAGCACTGGCTTCAGGGGCTGCTGGCCGTGAAAGGTCATAAAATAGAGCGGCATTCGCTCAAACTCCGTTGCCCAGTGGTCGAACTCCTGCAACTTATTATCCAAGGGGTAGCCCACGTATTGTCGCAGCAAAGTGGCGGCCAAACGGGTGTTGCGTATCTCGAAGGAGCCCCAGAGTGTGGACACGCCCTGCATGGCTAGGTCGAGGGAGTACTCGCTCATGAAGGTGGTTTTCCCGCTGCCCGTGGGTCCGGTCAGGATAGTTAGCTCTCCCCTACGATGACCCTTAAGCAACTTGTTCAGCACTGGGAAACGCTTCCACTTGACGCCGTTCACCTTTTCAATGTTCTGCAGCTCGCTGAGTATGTCGTTCCTCATCGCCCCAAATGTAGTGATGGCCTTATGCCTCACTGGCGTAGCCTTGGCCAGTATGTGGCGAAGGTTGAGCCGACGACGTAGTGCCAAGTGCGGTGCTGGCTCCGTTTCGGTGGCTCTAATGAGAAGGCAACGCTTTTCTTCTATCTTTTGGGCAAATGCTCGGGCGGCATCCCAGTTGTGACTGCTATCGTAGTGCAGCCAAAAGACCAGCTCCTTGAAGCGCTCCAATCCAGGCAGGCATTCCTGCGGCAGCATCTTCAGCTCGTACGGCAGGCAAACAATACAATCTGAAAGCAAAAACTGTATTCTGTGAGCTGTGAATCGCAAGGAAAGCAAGCGGTTGTACGTACGCGTTTCGATGTTCTGTGTGGCAAGGACGATGAAGTCAAGTAAATTGCTGACTAGAACCGCTTTACTTTTGTTCCCCACACCATGAATAAGCAGCCCTGACATGGACGTGCCCTGAAAGGTCTCCTCATGGCGGTCGCTTAAATGCAGCACCTTCTCCCCGACCACCAGTTGCGCTGCGTTGCGTAGCTTGAAATGCAGCAGATTCTGTTCCGGTTCGTACTGGGCTCCAATGGCATTCAACTGCGACTCCTTCAAACCCTTGATTCCTAGGGCATCACATGCCTCTGGCGTCACATTTCTAAGGTAGGAAAAGCGCGATTCATATACGGGCTGCGTTTGTGGGGGGCGCAGGTAGCCTGCTGGCGTGGGGATCTGATAAGCCGCCAGAGCATTGCTCAGAGAGGTTTTCACATCACAATTTGGACAGATAAAGGCTCCTAGAAAGAGGAATCTATTTAGATAGTTTGCTAATGAAAATCCGCTCCTTTACACACCCGTCCGCTTGTTTACGTAAGCCAGCAGCCCTTGCTCAGCGACGCCCCTTGTGTGTGCTACAGCCGGCTGCCTGTTACGTTCACACAGCCGGCACTCCACTTGCAAGCACGTGTGTCCATCCTTGGGAAGTAGATTGATCTGTCGCAGTTGTTTCTTAAAGTCCACATACTCCTTGGGGTCCAGTGTGCACTCCGCGTATTCCGTATTTATCTGCGTTGCGTAGTTTTCCCTCCAGACTCTGGATTTGTTGTTATTTATGCGCAACAGCGGTTTGATTAAACCAGCGCGTCTCATGGTACATGTTATCGATCAACTCTGTGCAACAGGCGGCAGGCTAGTGTAGCACGCAATTGAGATTTTGGAAGCCATTACTAAATAGGCCGTGTACTCCCAGCAAATAAATAATAAACCAACTGATTGCATCAGCTAGCATTTATGCGAGTTTCAGCTTTTATTTCGCGTTAGATTAATAACCCACTGCAACTCTTCCTTTGGTGAACTAACGCTATCGAGCACTCATCTGCGCGGCTTCTTTTGAAACACAAAATTCGACAGCTTTATGAATTCGTGGATTCCACAAAACGAACATGAAATTTCGCTGATGCGCGGTTCTTCCCACATACAGAAAAGGCGGACTTCAAGAGAGACTCTCACACTAAAACAGAACAGATCCCAATCCCAATTTCCAAATAAATTTTGTACTTGTTATTTTGTATTTAATTAGATTTATTTAGTATTCAATTGATGCGCCTTAAACACAAGTGCTGTTGAGCAAATGCCATCCAGTTGAAGCCATAATGAAAGTCTGTAATTAAATAAATATAGTATTAATAGGGAACGTATAAGCTCGATCAAAAGTTTTGTAAAAATTATTAATCAGACGCCTTAGCCCATCATAAAGCCGAAACTTTCTGGTGGAAACCGCAAAAGGTGTTTAAGGTAATCATCATTTAAGCAAATTAAGTAGTACAAAGCTTTTATAAATTACCTTTAAAATAGGTGCAGTTACAGATTCGGTAGTCATTTAAAATTCCCACATATTTGCTAAAAAAAAAAAAATAAAGAATCAGATTAGTTTTTACAAGAAAAAACCGGGAACAATATATGTGTAGAAACGTGTAGAAATCAGACACCTAAGCCCATCATTAAGCCGAGGCTTTCTGGTGGAAACCGCAAAAGGTATTTAAGGTAATCATCATTTAGCTACTCAGAATAATCCATCGGATTAGTGGTTGAAAATATTACCTTGGTTGGTTTTCACAACGAAGTACCATGTGCCTGGAGTAGCCATCAGATGCACGCCATAACCTCAAAGCAGAGTTCGAAATCTGAAATTAAGGAGTACATTAAAGATCTAAAACAAAAATGTTAGCTTTGAATTTGCTGAATCTTTAATCAGCTTACATTTTATCTGCATGATTATCTCAGTACAGGTCTGTGTAAAAGTTCATCACTTTGTTTAGTTTTATCTAAATTGAATGCTTACCTTGTTACAAAAATGTCCACACTGTCGTCTCCATGGGCCGTTTGTTAGACATAACCTAAAACAATAACGAAATAGCTCATTAATGAAAGAATTCATAAATAAAATAAAATTATTTTTTTCTTGAATCAGTTTACATTTTTCCGCATGAGTCTATTCAGTACAGGTCTGTGTAAAAGTTCATCACAAGAAAAAAAAACTGCATAACAAGAAGTTGTCCTTACCTCAATGCCCAGAGGAGTCTCAAATGGGCTGAATGCCCAAGGTGTCTCACCGGCCGCGTGGCCTTGTGTACGCACACCTACATGGCGTCAATTGTTCAAAGTTTCACCAAAGTTCGTGGTATTTATCCCTGCAAAGCAAACATCTTCAATTAGCAGTTGTTTAATTGAACACACAGCCAGAAAAGTAAATTAAATGCCATCAGATTGCCGAATAATCTTTAATGAACAAATATTGTTCAACGAAACATTGAAAGATACAACGTTAAGTCGAGAAAAATGTTCTTTCAGTCTCGTCATCAGTTTCATCATTTGTGGCATTGCATTTTTTGTTTAACTTTTCACTCAATTTTTCACTGGGCTCCATTTTCTTACCATTTTGCTTGAGTTGTCGAATAAAAGTGAAGCCACATCCGGGCGCACGTGGAAATGCTAGAACGAAAATGGCGGCACAGCTATGCTTCATCTAATATCGATCCACCACAGGGATGATTTTGTGGTCTTTCGATATATTTCAGCGTTGCTTTGGAAAAAAGTCATATCGATACTAATCGTGAAAACAGCTGATGACCAAAATAGTTCTCTACACGTGCGCCCTTTTAATTTGATTTTAAACTGAAAATACCTTAAAATGGTAAATATCTATTTCCATTGGAATGTCCCTCATGGTAACGGATTTATTCTTCCCACAGGGCAAACAAAAGAAAACCCAGAAGGTAAAGAAACAGCGAAATGCGCAGCTTAAACGCCTGATGAAGCCTACGGATTCGCGTCTGAAGGATCAAATTCGGGAAAAACGAAAGAAAGCCGAGGATCCTCACCAGGTGAAAGTGCACGAGGCCACGCAGCAGAGCTCGGCGCTCTTTTTCCAGTACAACACCCAGTTGGGACCACCCTACCACATAGTCCTGGATACCAATTTCATCAACTTTAGCATTAAGAGCAAACTGGATATTGTGCAGGGAATGATGGATTGTTTATATGCCAAATGCATACCCTACATTTCAGACTGTGTGCGCGCTGAGTTGGAGAAGCTGGGCAACAAGTACAAGCTGGCACTGCGCATCATATCAGATCCCCGCTTCGAGCGCTTGCCCTGCCTGCACAAGGGAACCTACGCCGATGACTGCATCGTGGAGCGTGTGCGCCAGCACAAGTGCTACATTGTGGCCACCAACGACAAAGATCTTAAGAACCGCATTCGAAAAATACCCGGAGTGCCCATTATGTATGTGTCGGCCCATAAGTACGCCATAGAAAGAATGCCGGAGGCGTATGGCGTGAAAGCGTAGACTACTTTTTATAGTTATATTTTACCCATTAAAACATGAAATTACTTTAAGCTCAAACTTTGTTCTTTTTTTTCTTCAAGCATGGGACCGTTTTCCAGTGTATAGGCTGAATAAGGAAATTAAAAACATCGTAGTCTATGGTTTTATGTTATTCAAGTTTATTCAAAACCATAGGTTCGCTCTGTTTTGTCGAGTCTAGGCATCAGCGTGCAGACGGGCTGTGGGCTTGGACAAGAAGTCAGAGTATGCCTGGTAGGGAGTGGAGCCCAGAGGCATCTCCTTCCACAAGTCTGGAGTGAGGTAAGCGTAGGTCTTGGCAATGGCAGCGTAGGTGGCCTTTGCGAAGTTACCCAGGGTGCCGGTCGAGCCACGGGCCGAGGTGTAGCAATCCTCAATACCAGCCATGGTAAGGAGCTTCTTGGGGACGGGAGCCGAGACAATGCCAGTACCGCGGGGAGCGGGAATCAGACGCACTGAGACGGAGCCGCACTTGCCAGTAACCTTGCAGGGCACGGTGTGGGGCTTGCCGATCTTGTTGCCCCAGTAGCCACGACGCACGGGCACGACGGACAGCTTAGCGAGGATGATGGCGCCACGAATGGCGGTGGCAACTTCCTTGCTGCACTTGACGCCCAAGCCAATGTGACCGTTGTTGTCACCGATGGCAACGAAGGCCTTGAAGCGGGTACGCTGACCGGCACGGGTCTGCTTCTGCACAGGCATGATCTTCAGCACCTCATCGCGCAGAGCCGAGCCCAGGAAGAAGTCGATGATCTCGAACTCTTTAATGGGCAACGAGTACAGGTAGATCTCCTCCAGGGACTTGATCTTGCCTTCGCGCACCAGGCGACCTAGCTTGGTGACTGGAACCCACTCCTTGGAGTCCTCCTTGCCACCACGTCCACGGGCGCCGCGTCCACGGCCACGACCGCGTCCACCACGACCCCCACGAGAGCCAAAACCGCCACGGAATCCACCACGGGCTGGAGCTGCGTCCGCCATTCTGCAATTGAAAAAACCAATATCTTGTTTAGCATATTGAAGACTACCAAAATCAATGTCAGCATTTCATTGTGTGCACTTGGATCAGACTCCTAAGGCCATCTTTAAGCAGAATGCTTTCTGGTGGAAACCGCAAAAGGTAATTGAAAGAATCATCATTTTACGCACAATTAAATACTTTTTTCACGAGTGGCTGGCATCGCCATTTTGAAACACGTGGTTTCCCAGAGTGGTTATGTTTTACTCTAAAATACCATAAAATCTTTTTTATTTAACATAAAGGGGAACATGTCGCTAATTGTGCTGTCAGGCACACTGATGTGAACATATTCTAAGCGAATTAGGCTAATTTATATTCAATTTAGCTTACATGTAGGTCTATCAAGTGTATTAGGGGTGAAAGACAAAAACGAAATGGCCGAGAAATGGAAATAGGGATGGTAAAAAGACATATCAATATATCGATATATATTTTTGGTGATATATTTTTGGGAAAATCGTCACAATATTTCGTGGTTATAGCTGTATGACATTAGACTTTGCTAACTGACTGGTTGCAAAACCAGAGACAGCCTTATGGGAGATATATATGCATCCAGTTGGCTTTTAAGTTGAGCTGCAGCAGCGCGGCCGCAGAGCTAATCGATTGTTGCAATTTTCAAATTCAATTTTGCTGGTTGGCTGGGTGTAATTTATAAAAAGAGAAATAATTAGACAATGAGAGAACATAATGGCAAGCATATTAGATTCAAACAGACGAAAAATTCTATGAGCAGCGTGGCACAAGCAAATTATTTATAAATTGTCGGACTGCTGCTCTCTCTTCGCAACACATTTTAAAAATTCTAATGTCATACAGCTATTAGATCAGATAGATCCGCTACTTTTCATATTCATCGATGCACAGAGCAGCTCAAGAATAATATCGGTATTTTTGTGCGATTACGGGATATATATATATAGTATATATATATATAGTATATAGTGTGACAACGCGAGAAAATCTGCCCAAATGTTTATTAATTGTACATAAACAAAGAAAAAGATATTGAAATGATATGAAATGTAAAAAGTTGGCAGGCGATGCCGTAAGATAATAGAAACATGCATTTTTCTATACCAGACACGCAGGACCTGGGCTCGCCCACGTACACTGTGTATAATATACACATAAATGGGAGTTATCATTGTTGCTTGCGGTACAAGCAACTGCATTCTTTAAACGAGCAAATGCGTCGGCATTGCTCCAGCTTGAGTCTGCCTCCTTTTCCCCCAAAAAGGTTTCTACCGCTAACTAATGGACAGCTGGAGGCCAGACGCAGTGGTCTGGAGCAGTATTTGCAGATCATTGGTCAGGATGCACGCCTTGTTCGATTGCCGTTTCTACATCAGTTCTTCCAGCGTGCCCAGCTGGATACGGCACTGGCCGAGGGCAATGTGGGAAGCGACAGCGAGGAAAAGCAGCTAGAGGTAGAGGTCTACACAAATCCGAATGGAGCACAGTTGCTGGTTAATTGTAATGTGCAGCAGAATGCCAGTTTGTTACTGAAGAGCGTGTGCCGTGAACTGAAGCTCCCAGAAGAGCTGATGAAGTTGTTTTGTCTGTACCTGATGCGCAAAAAGCGGGAATCTGACGAGCTGGTTCTGGTGCGACGCCTAATGGACTTCGAGTCGCCATACATAACACGTCTCCATGCCCAGCCCTGTGAGCTGTTGCTTCGCACGTGTTACTGGGATTCGAGCTGGGATGCCAAGCTATACGGAAATAAAGTGGCCCTGAACTTGCTGTATAACCAGACCGTGGCGGATGTGAGTAGAGAATGGGTTGTGATCTGCTCGCCTGGCCTTGGACGGCAATTGAGCCATCTTCAGATGCAAGGGCGGTCTTTGGAATACATGGACATAGCGCGAGACTTGCCCTCCTACGGATGCCTGCAGTTTGAGGCGGCGAATGTTGACTATCCTGACCCGAAAACTATGGCTTTGGTCAGCATTGGTAACAAGGAGCTCAGCTTGCGTACGGCACGAGGCGCCAAGATATACGAGACAAAGTTTCGGGTGACTAGGATGCGCTCATGGCGTGTCAGTGTGACCCACAATACGCTGGAGTCGAGGCTTGAGCCCTCACAGTTGCAGTTGGCATTTGAGTATTTGATTTCGAAGCAAACGCTTCGCTGGATAACTATAAGCAGTGAACAGGCCATGCTGATGTCTGTATGCCTGCAGGCCATGGTGGATCAGTTGTTGCACGGCGGAGGCGGGAAAACAGATCAGAATAGCGATGATGAACCGGACGCGGGAGCTACATCGGCCGCATCAACACCCAGCTCGGTATCATCGACATCGACTTGTGCATCTACGTCGTATTCGACAACGACAGCGTCTATAACAACGCCGCCAGTCAAGTTTCTGGCACAGGACCTGGCTCCCAAATCAAAACAGCAGAGACTAACGACGTCCCGCACTTTTGGAGCTGTGTTCTTTCGCAACGATGGGGAGGACGGTGCACGTGTGGCCAACGAAGCGTTTGAGGGTATTGGGGACGACGATCTCTGAATAACGCTAGCCAAATGAATGGGTGCCAAACTAGTTGAATTTCTTGAATATATAACTATCCGCATGTTTTGTAACCACTGTAATGTAATTGTTAGCAACACAAATCGAACCGGCACATTTAAAGTAACACAGTTAGTAATTTTTGAGTGTATATAACTTTATTTTCTCGGCTGCTTGTGAATCCTAAGGGAAAATGTATGAAATGGGAATTTTATTGTATAGAACCGATGATGTATTGATGAATGCTCAACAAGAAAGCGTTTTCTTACCATTTATTATTTATAAGAAATGTTGAATTATTATAAATTCTCTGTAAATGAACCTTTTTGGACACATTTGTAACCTTATTGCTTATTGTTTAACTCTTATTGTAATATATGTATGTGCATCTTTTTACGTTTACTCTTAGAATAAATACGTTATGCATTTGGAAAAATAAATGTACTGATAACTACTGTGTACGGTTCGTTTTTGACTTGTCAGAGCCTTTATATAATAGTAAGGACAGGGGGCAGTGTGCCGGCTGTGGGCAAGCTCTAGTTGTGGGCATCCAATACGTAACACTACGTAAACTTGGTCAGCTCAGCAAGCAAAAGTTACTGATCTGAGTATTGTTTGTTGGCAGTACGCAGTTTTCGTATTGATAACGAAACAAATATAAGCATACATATGTATACATATATATGCGAAGTGGTGACTGTTTCATTTTGTTTGCAATGCTGTCATTGTATTTCCAAAAAATGTATGCATCACATCGTTTGTTGATCTTTGTTTCTGTTGACATCACCCTTTTTTTTTGCATTTTACGTTATTTTTGCCCAGTGAAGGCTATATACCGGTTCATCGGTAGTATTTCTACAGTTATTATACCTATCGATGGTTCGGGACTTCCGCTTAATTAAAATTGTGTTTTGTGTTTTTTGATGTTGAAAAAATGATCCAAAGCGAATCGGCAATTGCTCCAGAGAAGGACGACCGCGTAATGCAGCTTATGGCAATGAACGGCAGGTAATGAAACTACTCTTAACATTACTATTTGAATTAGCGGCACTGGAGTAGTTAAAACCACAAGTTTCAATGGCGATCGGAGTGAAAGAGGAAGAGATAACCAACGTTTTTCGGAAAGCAAATTGAATACACTTTTGACTAGCAGTGATTTATTACAAGTAAATATATGGATTCACATAAAAATTGAGCCTTAGATTAGCGCTGAGTCCGCGGAAACCGAAGTCGCATTGGACCTCATTTGGTACTGGGGCTTGGTGTGAAGTGAATTGAAGTCCTCGGGGTTAGTGTCACTATTGCTGGTTCCAAAATAAATATGTATCGCTTAGCCTAGGTAAGAGTAAGAGTAAGATAAATAGAACAGAAGGTTTGCAGGCCTAAATGCAAATCGACAACAGTAAAGATAGCTGATAATGTCTTGCGATTGCCCGACCATCAACCCCCTTGATCCCAGTCCCTTCCCTTTCTGTGGATCCACACTAGATTGTCCGCCTAGTTGTTGTTGCGGGTGTAGTAGAGGACCGTGTTTCCGGGCAGCTGCCAGTGGGAGGCCTTCAGCTCGATGAGTTGCAGCAGTGTCCGACGGATGGCAGCAGCCGATTCGCCCGCATTCAAGAAGGCATCGCGCACGAGGCTCATGAGCAGCTCCAGCTGCTGGGGCAGCTGCTGCTCCACGTCCTGGCCAATGCAGGTTAGAACATAGAACAGACACTCAACCTGGAACGAAAGAAATCCCATATAACGATCTGATTTGTGAATCTAGGGACAGACGCACTTCTGACAGCGAGTGAATCGGCGGACGCACACAATCCTCACAGCACTTGGACAGCAGGCTGAGCAGGACCAATGGAGGAGGTGTTCCCTCGTGGTGGGTGCGCAGCTGGATTTGGCGCCGCTTCAGCTGGCAGAACATCTCCGTGAGGAAGGCCATGAAGGCTGTAAAACGTACGCGGGAAGGTGACTTCATGCCCTGGATGGCAAACAGTAGCTAAAGGAATAGATAAGTCATGGATTAAAGCTTCGGATAGTCTTCCCTTGTGTGTACCTTTTCGCGTTCCTGGTACCATTGACGGCACGTATTGAGCAACGCCTCGAGGAAGGTCTCCTTCTGCTCCCTGGCTATGATATTGAGGCATAGACGGGAGATGGGCAAGGCGAAGCGCCGGCTCTCCACCGCCCGCTTGATGAACTGTGAAGTCAGCTCCATGAGGCAGCGCGAGTTCAGCTGATTGGGATCCTCCAGAGCGGTGTCGATCAAGGCCTGGATCTCCGGCGTGAACCCTCCAATGTCGGACATCTCGTTGCCCAGGCCCAGGCCCAGACCGGCCATGCCACGGGTCAGGGCATCAGCCGACGACAGGGACTTGGAGCGTTGCAGGGCATTGCCGTTCATATACGGATCGATAGAGCCATTGAGGTTCGGCTGATATTGCTGTCCATAGTTCTGCTGGAACTGGTTTTGGGATGCCGAAGACTTCTGCTGGCCCCTGGGCTCTGGGGCAAACTTTACCCGATTCGTTGTCTGAAAGGGATAGAAGGGAGAGATTTTAATGAGAGATTGTGAGAGTCTATCCTCTTATCCGCCTGCTTACATGGAGTATATTGCCACTGGAGGGGGAGTTCATGAGAGGCATTTGACTACCCGCTAGAGGACTGATTGGATGCGTCACCAAAATGGAGCGATGGTGGCTGGCCTTCATTCCGCCGGGCATGTTGCCCAGCGAGAGACCCGCCTGCCGTCTGTTCACGTTCACATTCATATTCACGTACTGGCCCAAAGAGGGGCTCTGGCCGGGGACGTTGGTGGGGAAGATTAGCGACGAACTGGAAGAATGTTGTAGATTGTAGTTTAGCTCTGCAAGAAGACGGGAAGAGGGGTAAACGATGGCATTAAAAAGGTTTTGCTTTACCGATTACTGAGGGCCTCGGTTGGCGAGCAGTTGCCCGTCATCGTGAACTCCTGGGCATTCACATTCAGTTTGTTTACACCACCTGCACCTGCACCTGCACCACCACCACCACCACCACCGATCGGAGCAGCCATTTCGCCGCGCACATCTGTGACGGAGGCATTTATACAGAGGAGGTCGGACACCAAGAGTTTATAGCATGATGATGTGAGGGGCAGGACAACATTTTGGGAGTGTGTGTGTGTGTGTGTGTGGGGGGGAGGAGTGTGTATAGAGTATGAGAAAGACATATGAAAAGAATCGAAAAGAAAGATAATGTCTCAATAAGTAATTGGTAGTCTATAAAGCTTGCAGCTGAAAGTGCGAAGCATCCGAGAAAGCAGCTGGAGAGCAGATGGCCCCCGACAAACTAACAAAGATTATGCGGTGGAAAACTCTCCTAAAAGACGTCCAGTCTGATGTAGGTTATCTATGGTATGTTCCCCGTTGATTCGCTTTATAAATGTCCCCTAAGCGAACGGAACTCAACCGTGAATTGGCAGTCACGCGTTAATGCGTTCATCCGCGTATGGGAATGTGCTGCCAATGTAATTATGGCATTACAAATAGCCACCTCCATCTGTCAGTTGCTTGATACATCAGTTCTAGCCGGATAATATTGTAATGGATTTAACTAGCGCTACCTTGAGACAGCATAAAGCATTCTGCCAAGCAAACTAAGCAGAAAAGTGGAAACACAACAAAGAGGAAACAAATGGATTACTCACTTGGCGGTCGGTATATATCCATAGCGGGCTTGCCCCTCATCTGTCCCGACTGCTGATTTCCAGGAACATTGAAGGCCAGACTGCGCCTTTTGTTGATATTCTGGAATTGAGGGAACGCTACAGTAAGCCCCAAATCAAAGATAAGTGACAGCACCTGTTGGTTCGAAGTGCGGACAAAGCTGCGTTCTCTGGATATAACGCCGGGCATCATGGGCTGAAAGTCGGGCGACTTGCGCACCTTTCGAGCATCATTCTGTTGACTGTTCAGGCTGGCCTGTGAGTGTTCCACTTTCTCGGCCATTTCCGTGCTGGTTCTGGTTCTGATCTGATCTCTGATCTGTTTAGCCTAATCTTTGGTAGATTATAGATTATCCTCTCGATAATTGATTTACAACTGGGGTTCCTTGGAATAGACCTCTAGGTTCTAGGTTTCTCAGTGTTTTTTCAGTATTTGAGTAAATTTGTACATATCACAATAGTTGATTCCTCTCTGATCTGATCCGATCCGATCCGATCCTTTCTTCTGTTCGAGTTTTTAGTTGAATTCTCTCCTTAATACAATCTTTGCAGAGTCAGATTGCTTGGTCTGCAATGGAATGAAGAGTGGATTGTTTGCCAGATTCATTTTGCAGAAAACCCAAACCCAAACCCAAGCTCCAGCCCCAAGTCAAGCCCATAACATGTTCACCTACTCATACAATACATCAAATATCAAGATACAGAAAACTGTTTACCCAACAGCGAGAGAGAGAAAGAAGTCGCCAACTACTTGAATCTCTTGGGGCAATCTGCCAGTCTGTCCCTGTGGCTCTGGCTGTGGCAACCGGCTTTATAGATGGGCGTAGGAGTTGCATCTGGTTTGGTTTGTTGCCCAAGCCGAGCAGAGCACTTCATCTCCCCAGCAGCCATGACATCAGCCTCAAAATAATGTGAGAGATCCAAGCGCTTCTATCCTACGTATATAACTACTATGTGAACTTGCAGCGTTAATTATTAGCCCCCAGATATACTTGTGAAGCTGAAGATTGGGATAGGAGGGGATGGATGAATCACTTACCTTTTTGTGCAAAGTATATGCTTCTTCCAATTTGTTTCGAGCTTTTGTATTTATATATATTTGTGTTCGTCGATTCGATTGCTGCTTGGCTGTTGTTGCTGTTGTTGCAGCTCTTTAGTTTTATTTCGTATAAAGATATTTATCTACTTCATAGATACGCTCTTTCTCATTCGTCTATCGTTTAATTATGCTGGACAGGCACGCGCTCAAAGTCCAGCCTCAAAGCCATAAGCCAGAAGTAATAATTCCAAAAACAGTGCCGGAGATATTCCAAATATGAATATGAATGGAGGAACCCGAGCCCGAAGTTCTTTTCTAGCTATGGATTGTCGCGCACACACACACACACAGATACAGATACAGATAAACACTTGAGCACACTCAGGGGGATCGTAATTGATTGTATCTTTCGTGTTTGTTTGTCTGTGTGTGGGGGAGCAGCAGCTGTTTGCAGAGAGAGATGTGGATTCGAGGGATGAGTCAATGGAGTGGAGCGGGTGGTGGCCCGGCTTCTGGCTTCATTGAGTATACGCACCGTGGGACGGACAGCGTTAGTCGTCTGTGTGTTCGTCTATTTTTGGTTTGTTGCTTTGTGCTGCTCGTTCTCTGCTCTGTCTCTCTCTCTCTCTCTTTCTCGCTCACTCTCTCGGTTGCTCTGCTGTAATTGCGTTTTCCTCTAGTGTTTGTTTGGTTTTGTTCGCGTTATTTTCGTTCGTTTCTCTTTTAAATGTAGATCGCTCGCTGTATTTTGTAGTTCTTATTCTTCGGATTACTCACATGTACGCACACAACTAGACACTACCCACAGACACACACAAATAGAGAGGGGGAGGAATTATTAATTATTTGTATACCATTGCCACAATGAAAGTATTATGCATTTGGAATAGATCAATCATAGGATGACTTCATCCAAAGCTACTCCAAAGAGACGATGGTTTTTCTAGAGTATTTAAAGCTTCGGTCCAACTTGCATTTGCTTTTCTTGTTACGCCTGCTCTCTCCACGCGCGCTACCTTTCTTCTTCTATTGCCAAAAAAAAATCGCTCACATGTGCCGCTGCCATCGCATCTATATTTATACTATGTGACGGACGGATGGATGATATATGTATTTCCACGGACATACAGACAGACGAACGGACGGAGATATATGCATGCATTTGGCGTTTCTTCCGTTTCCGCCAGAGCCAAAAGACAAAACTGGGTGTGACGTCGTCGTCATCGTCGTCTATTGGTGCGATCCGAGGCACACAGAAACACCGAGGAATCTTTTTCATTATTATTATTATTGGCCCTATATTTATTTAGTATTTTGTGGCAATATGATTTCCGTCGTTCGCAAACTGTTTTTTTTTTGTTTTTTGTTTTCCTATTTTTAAACAGATTTTGTTGAGGCTTGCCTGAGGAGCGGCCAAAGCCGAAAAAGCGAAAGAAGGAATTTTAGACACGGCGACGGGGACGGGGACGGGGACGGGGTTTGGTATGACTATGAGTATGGGGGCTAGGGACGAGGGAAAACTTATGTACTCGGCATGAATCACATCACATAATGGCAAACGGATTTCGATTCTGATTCCGACGATTCGTTAGAGTGGAATAGAGGCGGGGACCAACCAACAGTTGGACCGCGGATGGCACATACTACTTTGTTTAATTATAGAATCTGCTGCTGCCTGCTGCCTGCTCCGATCTGCTCCGCGTATTACTGCAATTGTTCGAGTTTTGGTTTATGTTTGGGCCACATATGTTCGTTGATCAGACTCCTCCGAATAGATACAATATATCGTCGTACACTATGGATATGGTATTGTTATACATATATCCATCTATCGCTGTGCGTCGTGTCGGGTTGTCGGTGTGTGTTTTCGCAAGTAGTATGTTTGTATGTATGTATGTAAGATATGTATGTGAGTAACGCGCTTAAACTAAAAAATTAAATCATCGGCCCGAGCGATCAGTTGAAGACTGAAAAACGTTGATGAATCGCCCCGCCGCACACAAAAGCCAACCAAAAGCTCTCGCTCTCTCGACGCTGCACTCTCTGGGGCGAAGCACAAGCAAAGCAGAGAACGAGAGAGCGAGAGAGTGGGGATCTCTAGGCAGGGCTGTCGAGTGACCCGTTGGATATCGGACAGTAGACACCAGTCGGGGGGTTGTTTAGTTCTCAATGCACAATAGTTCTTTTTACTTATAAGTTACAACAAATCGTTCAGCTTAGTAAAAAACTTAGTAAAAGAATGAAAATCAATGCGAAATGAACAATCCTAATCCACTGTATGAATCAGAGGTCTTCGGATCGATGGAAAACATTTATCTGGTCTGCCTTAGTTCACATATCATATCATGGAATTATCTTTTATGGTTAGATAGCTCCCCCTTATCGGGGGTGTGCCACATATACTCGTATAAATCTCTGGTTACATTCCATCTAGCATGCATACAGGTGAAACTATAAATTAAAAACCAACTATTGATTGCTTAAACTATGAAAAAATTATGGATTATGGTTTATGGATTGTGTGGATTGGGCGGGGAGGGTAACTACTTTGTGGGAGTGGCCAGAGAGTTGTTAAGTGAGTTGGATAACTGCTCCTCCTGGTCCTTGTCGAGGCCCAGGGCCATGGTTAGGAGTTTGACGACGCACCGCTGCTCGTGTACCTCGCCCTCGCCCTTCTCGGTGGAGGTGATCTCCTTCTCTAGCTTTAGCTTCTCTTCGGCGGCCATCAGGATGCCCTCCTCGATGGTGCTCTCCGCCACCAGGCGGTAGATAGTGACTGGCCGCTGCTGGCCCATGCGATGACACCGATCTTCGGCCTGCTTGTCGTTGTACGGATTGAAGTCAATGTCGTGGATGATGCAGGTGTCGGCAGCCGTCAGGTTGATGCCCACGCCGCCGGCCTTTGTGGATAGCAGAAACACAAAGATATTGTCATCCACATTGAAGTCCGTGATGAGATCCTGTCGCTCCTTCACGGCGGTGGCGCCGTCCAGGCGGCAGAACCCATGCTTTCGTATGCGCATATACTCCTCCACAATGTCCAACATCATGGTGAACTGGCTGAAGAGCAGCACCCGGTGTCCCTCCTCCTTCAGTTTCGGCAGCAGGGTGTCCAGGAACTCGAATTTACCCGAATCGCATATCAGTTCATCCGGTATCCTTACGTCGGTCATTTCCTTTAGTAAACAACAAAGGATGTTAGCTTTAAAGGGGATAGTTCTCTCTCTGGAGCACACTTACATGCTTGTTGCAAAGCTGATAGACCTGGAAGTCGGACATGATGGCCAGTTCCTCGAAAATGTACTGCTCGTTGGTCTTTTTGTAGGTTGTGGCGCGTGCCAGGCGCTTGGAGAAGCCGCGCAGATGCTCGTCGGTAAAGTAGTGGCGCATCAGCAGCGGATGATTGGCACAGCGACGCATCTCCATCATGATGGTGATGCCAGCCCGATCGCCGCCACTGCACACGACGCCTTTGTTATTGGAATAATAGTCGACCACCTCGTGGTAGTACTCTCTCTGTTTGCTGCTCATCGGGACTTTTTCCTTTAAACATAACGGCATGATAATTGTGGGACGTAAGATTTTCAACTATTCCGCTTACCACAAAGCTTTGCTTCTTGGGCAGGTGTTTTAGGACATCTTTCTTGAGGCGCCTGAGTACAAAGGGCTTCATGATGCGCTTGGCCCGCTGTATTTGTGTTTCCTGAAACTGGGACACCTCCTCCTGGTCGCCGTCGGTCTTGTTCTTCTGCAAAAGGGAAACCAAAAACCTCTTTAGCTCGATATGCACATGAAAGAAGGCTCGACCGGGTCTTGCCTTGACAAACAACGATTTGATATCCTCGATGCTCTTCGCGAAGAACTTGGGCATCACGAAGCACAGCAGGGAGATCAGCTCCAGCAGGTTGTTCTGCAGGGGTGTGCCGGTTAGCAGGATGCGCATTCGGGCGTTGATGGTTATGAGGTTGGCATACCGCTGCGTGGTCATGTTCTTCAGCATGTGCGCCTCATCGAAGATGACGTAGTCCAGCTTGCACACCCGGAACATTTTCCTCTCCTCGGGCGTGGAGCCAACGATATGGTAGCTGCGATAAGAAGCGAGCAATCATGAAACGGATGAAACGTTGAAGGGAGGTGTTGCTACTCACGTTGTCAGCAGTACATCGAAGCCTGTGAAGCCGTCCTTGGCATACCGTCCACGCATCCTCCTGCGCTCGTCCTGCGAGCCATGATACTTCTCTACCACCAGAGTGGGACACCATCGCGCGATCTCGGCCTCCCAGTTGTCCAGAGTAGAGGAGGGGACTACAATCAGGTGGGCTGCTTTGCTGAGACCTTTCTCCTTTAGGTAGGCCAGAAAGGCAATCACCTGTATGGTCTTGCCCAGACCCATTTCGTCGGCCAGGATGCCGTTCATCTCTTGTTTGTGCATCACAGTGAGCCAATTGAGGCCTATTATCTGATAGTCGGCCAACTGCATTCTGCAATTAATATGATATTAAAGAGAGTATTTTCCATGATTGTACTGGACATGACTTACCCGCTGGTCAGCATCTTGGGCTGGTCCACGATACCGCCACCATTGGAGATGGCCTTCTCCAGACGCGACACCATATTGTTGCACTTGTTCAAGATTGTAGCGACCGTGTTCTGCTTGTTGATCAGATCCTGGGCATAGTTCAGCAGATCGCCCGACATCCGAATGCTCTCCAGCTTCTTGCGCAGCCCCGCCCAGTCACCGAATGGCCGCTGCTCAATGATCAGAGTCGCCTTCTTCTCGGAGAGCGTCTTCACCGACTGCAGCTCCACGATGGTAGCCTCGTTCATGAACTGGAACACCTTCTTGCGCTGGCCAGTCATCTTGGTGGCCATCTCGGAGTCGCTGTCATCACTGTCGTACACTTGATCCTTGGACTGCTTGACGTCTTCATCGTCCGAGCATTCGCCGTCCGAGTAGGCCCTGCTGGAATGTGAGCTTGGCTGCAGTTTAGGCTTGACCAAGGGACCATTTTGCCCCTTCGGCTTGCAGTGCTCTCTCAGATAGCGTATGGAGGCTGCCACATCCCAGTTCGAGCGCGAAAGCGACTCCTGAACGGCCTGAAATAACGGGGAAAGTGGAAAATTCTTACACCGGGCTCAAAAAATAAATCGATATCGATATCTTCGATCCCCTTTGCGACGCCCCTGTACGCGACAGCTGTTTTGGAACGCCGGCCCTGAACATCGCCATGTTCCGCGCGCACATACATATGTATGTACCAGTAGAGGACGCTCGTGTTCCCCCTGCCCCGCGCCAGATTTTGACCTGTTCTGTTCATGAACGTACCATTGTATCATACTGCGGCGATATTTTCGCAGCTGCCATGTAGCGTTCCTCCTTTTCTTTTACTGTCAGCTCCAGCTTGGTCTTCTTCGTCACATGGCTGTCGGCACCGTCGCTGTCACTGTCTGCCATCACCTGGATTCGTTTCTTGCCAGGAACTCTCTCTGTAAAGGGTTGCCACAATTACAAACACCGTAGCATGAAATGTCAATAACTCTGTTACCAGTTTTAGCCTGGCCTGAGGAGACGGCTGTATTTTTATTGATGCGAAACTGTCGCAAATCACTCAAACTCGATTTGGTAGGTGATGAGCTGTCTGACATCTTTGGGCAAGGCTGGGCTAACTGACAGCTTGTTTACTTTTTTAGTCACAATTATTTGTGCCTAAATACAAGATTGACATATATGCGAAAACGATTTCCCTACACCTTTGCCTCTTTGCGTTTACACGGAGAACAGAGCCTAGGAGTATGAGGAACACCGATCCGATAGTCACGAGTACGGCAGGCCGATACGTTATATCGATGCAGATGGCGTGCGTAACGTGCAACCCTGTTGTGGCAATCGATTCTGTGTGACGCGCTTGCAACCCTTGCATTTTTTCGCTTGCTTGTAGGTTAATTGAAAGTATTTTTCTTGCAAATAAAACGTTTTTTGAGCTGAGAGCGCACCAGCAAACTGGCGACAATGGCGGGCGGCAACACTCCGCGTGTTATACAGGTGACCAACATTGCGCCGCAGGCCACCAAGGACCAGATGCAAACGCTGTTCGGCAACATCGGCAAAATTGAGGAGATCCGGCTTTATCCCACCATCCGCGATGTCTCGTGTCCCGTGCAGTCGCGCATCTGCTATGTGAAGTACACGGAAACGACTAGTGTTCCTGTGGCCCAGCATCTCACCAACACGGTATTCATTGATCGCGCCCTGATTGTCATCCCCGTGCTGGCCATTCCCGAGGAGTACCGCGCTCTGGAGATGCTCAAGAACGGCACAATAGTGCCGGGCCTGCAGAAGCCGGACTCGAAACTGCCTCCCGAGGTGATCAATCGCATAGAGGGGCAGCTGCCGCAACAGGTTATCAAGACCTATGACCCCAAGCTGGTGGAGTTCAATCTACCAGAGTATCCGGCTCTGCCGTCGTTCTATGATGCTCGCAAGATCGAGGAGATCCGGCGAACCATTATTGTGTGCGATGTGAAGAACGAGTGGCGCCTGGACGACCTAATGGAGTGCTTCCAGCGTGCTGGTGAAGTGAAATATGCGCGCTGGGCCGAGAAGGACATCAAGACATACTGCATGATCGAATTCTGTGAGCAGACCAGCATCATCCACGCCCTACGCATGCAGGGCCAGGAATTCAAGGGCGGCTATCTGAGTGTTTACCATTCGACATACTGTATCACCAAGCCAGAGGCCAAGTCCAACGAGGCCGCCCAGGCGGAGATCGAGGAGGCCATGACCATTGTGAAGGAGGCGCAGAGTATGATATCGGCCGCTATTGATCCAGTGATCGGCATGCTGGCCAAGGACAAGCGACGTCGGTCCCGCTCCCGTTCGCGCTCTCGGGATCGCCGCACCAGCCGCTCTCGCTCGCATCGGTCGACGTCCCGGAGACGCTCACGTCGCTCTGGCTCCAGGGAGCGACGCAGTGGTTCGCGTTCTAGGCGCTCTCGCTCTAGAGGAAAGCACTCGTCACGTTCGCGAAGCAAGCGGTCCAGATCCCGTCACCGTCGCAGCACCTCCCGTTCGCGTAGGTCACGCTCCCGCGGGGGCAAACCATCAAGGGCGCGCGGCAAGCGCTCTAGGTCCCGTCATCGTAGCAGCACCTCACGCTCCCGGCGTTCCCGTTCGCATGGGGCCGGTGGCAGCACCAGCAGCAAACGCTCTCGTTCTCGCGAGCGCAGCAAGAAGTCGCACCGTGAGAAGCGCTCCTCCCGTTCGCCCAGGTCGCGCAGCAAACGCAGCTCGCCCTCGCCACCACCGGTGATCGCCCTAAGCAGCAAGTCCCGTACAAGCCGCAGTAAAGATGTGTCCACTGTTGTCGCAAAGACTGCCTCTTCGGTCGTCCGGCGGCGGGAACGCTCTCGCACACCCGAGGCACCAGGACGCAAACTGAAGGTCATCTCCGAAGATATAGAGTTGAAGAGCTCGCGCTCCAGCGCCGATTCCAAGTCGCGCAAATCGGTGAGCGTCGAGAAGTCGGACAACATGGATATATCCAACTCCCCCTAGAGCCTAGATATATGGATCGCACACTAATGCATATAAAGTACACACTTAAGTAATGTAATCCCCAATAATATGATGTCAAGTATGAGATTCCTCCTTTCTACACTTTCTGTCCTAGTTTCCATCAAGTATAAAGTCAAATTTAGAACTGCAGAAGTACGTATTGTATCCTCACTCGAGAGCAGTCATTGAAAATACATATTAAGCTTCTAAGATCAATATTTCCACCCATTGTTTCATTTGAGGGAATTTCTTTCAGTGCATGGCACAGCTGAGGAAAGACTTGTTTGTCGGCTGCAGCAAAGCTTTGCGCCATAAAATGGAAACTGCGAAGCTCTGAAAGCTTTTTCTCCGCAGTAATATGCCAGCGACGGAGCGTCCGAATTAAACAGAAGTCGAAAGTTGTCCCCTCCAAACGGTTGTCGTCAGCGTCTCAAGTTCTGTATAACCTGCATTTGATAAAGAATTAAAAGTGAAATCCATACAAGATGTCTGCAGCAACAAAAGGTATATATTGGGCACACCCCCATCGGAGGATAGTGGGTTCCTGGGAGACGGTTGTGCGTGAGAGGGACTGGTAGAGGCTTTGCTGACAGTGAACTTTGGACTTGTTTCGGCCTTATCTGATGCTATCCCCCGCACAGAGCCGGTTGCACTTTGGACCTGTTGAATGAAAAACAACATTCTGATTTAGTTCCCACAATTTGAATAATCATTTTGCTTACACGCATACTATAATAATTGTACGTAGGTATTTATATCGTGGCTGCCAAGCGCACGGCCTTTGGTACCTTCGGAGGCGCCCTGAAGGGCATTAATCAGACACAGCTGCAGACAGTGGCAGCCAAGGCTGCCCTGGATGCGGCTGGTCTGAAGGGAGAGCAGGTGGACACCGTCATTGTCGGCAATGTGATTGCGGTGAGTGGGCACGGAACCCAAATTCCATTCAGGATCGAACTGATCGGGTAAATGGATTTCTATGTTGCAGTCCTCCTCCACGGACGGCATTTACGTACCGCGCCATGTGGGCCTCAACTGTGGTGTGCCCATTGAGAAGCCCGCCCTGGGAATCAATCGCTTGTGCGGATCTGGCTTCCAGTCGATCGTGAACGGAGCCCAGGACATTCTGGTGGGCGGAGCTAAGGTGGCGCTCACCGGCGGCGTGGAGAACATGTCACAGAGTCCGTTCATTGCCCGCAACATTCGTTTTGGCACCACCCTGGGGGCCAACTACAATCTGGAGGACGCGCTGTGGGCAGGACTCACCGATAGCCGCTGCAAACTGCCCATGGCCCTCACAGCCGAGAACCTGGCCGATCAGTACAAGATCAGCAGGGAGCGTGTGGATGAGTTTGCGCTGCTGTCGCAGAAGAACTGGGAGAAGGGTCAGAAGGAGGGCGCCTTCGATGCGGAGATCACTCCCATCAAGCTGAAGGTGAAGGGAAAGGAGGTGGACTTTGTCATCGATGAGCATCCTCGCCCCAAGACCACCATCGAAGGCCTGAACAAGCTGCCCTCGCTCTTCAAGAAGAACGGAGTTGTTACGGCCGGCACAGCGTCTGGCATCTGTGACGGAGCTGCCGCCGTGATTGTTGCCTCTGAAGAGGCTCTGAAGGAGTACAACCTCAAGCCCCTGGCCCGCCTGGTCGCCTTCTCCTTTGTGGGCGTCAACCCTGAGATTATGGGCATTGGCCCAGTGCCTGCCATCCAGAACGTACTCAAGGTTGCCGGCAAGAAGCTGGAGGATATTGATCTCATTGAGGTGAGACGAAATGCCATTTAAATGGGAGCAGACCCGGCTGACCGATTCCCCTTTTCCTCTGTGCAGATCAATGAAGCCTTTGCTGCCCAAACTCTTGCCTGTGCCGATGCTCTGAAGCTGGATCCCTCCAAGCTGAATGTAAATGGCGGTGCCATTGCCTTGGGACATCCTCTGGGTGCCAGTGGCTCTCGCATCACCGGTCACCTGGTCCACGAGTTGCAGTAAGTTGTCTTTCGTTGAACGGTCCGAGTAGATTTTTTCATTTTTTCAATCTCCCTCTCGCAGGCGCAAGGGACTCAAGTACGGCATTGGCTCGGCCTGCATTGGCGGTGGCCAGGGCATTGCCTTGCTGCTTGAAGCTGTCTAAATTGGATTGTCCAGCTAGAGCTGACTCCTTTCCGCATTTACGATTAAATTAGTACTGAAAATTTTCGCTAAAGAGAAACCCCTTTAACTAGTAATAAAGAAATTATTTTATCTTTACAATTTATTAAATCTTTTGCGAATGGAAGTTGATTAGCTTTCTACAAGAAAGACAACAATTGCATCTTCATGCTATAAAATTTCTATGTTCATTGCTGGAAATGCTTATCGGACGACTGATGGATGATATGTCTCAGCCGATGTACGAGTTTTTGATGAACGGAATTCTCGCCCGCTGTTTAGGGTAGGGAATCAATCTCTTAAAGGGCCTAACATTACGAGTAGATGACGAAATTTGTTCAGTTCACTTGGGCGCTGGTGGAGAAGAGCGCCAGGGCTCCGCTGGCGAGGCCAACGGAGAAAATGTAGTTCACAAACGGCGTCGAGTTCTTCAGCAGGAAGAAGCTGATGAAGATGATGACGGCCAGGTAGATGGAATTGTTGTAGAAAATCGAAAAGGTGGTGGCCTCGTAGTCGGCGACCTCGTTCTTCTTCCAGAGGATGCGCTCGTCCTTCTCCTTGCGGGTGACCTTCTTGTCGTCGCCCAGCTGGCGGTTCACCTCGCGGGTAACAGCGTCCTCGCGACGTCCGGCGATCTTGTGCTTCAGCTGGAACTTAATGTTCTTGTAGGCAGTGGCCATCAGATAAGTGCTAGCGGCGGTCACCAACACGAACAGAATGGAGCTGGGCCACAGATCCATGTTGTGTATGCGCCAGAAGAGCCCTGCAAAGCACAAATTTCATTCATAAAGGTCGGCCCCAAAAATCAACAACGTGTCACTTTACTCACAGATGGGCACCGCGGACACGATAAAGGCATTGCCGTAGAACAGGGCCGAGGACTTTGTGCTCACATTGCGGCTGAAATCCTGCAGCAGAAGCTCTTCCTCCTTGGTGAAGCCAGAAGACTGCACTTTTTGTTGCTTGCCAGAGCCCATTTTTCAGTAATTTCAGTTAAACAAAAGCAAGAGCTCCAGTGAAAGTTGCTACCAACGCACGGAAAAGTCTATAACGAAGTGTACACGAATGCAAGAGTCGAGGGTAGTCGGCTTCTCGCCGATGTGACGTGTAAACGTCAAAGGCAGAGTTGCACCGGGGACGTCTATTTGACAGCCCTGGCAGCCGATAGTAGTCGCCAGCCGATAGCAACAGTACCATTTGCCGATAGTAGCGCAACAGGTTCTGCAGCTGAGCGGAATTTGTTTTTATATAAATAAGTTTGAAATTAAAGGTACGTAATGAGTAAACAGAGCAGTCACCATTTGGTTTATGTTGCAGCTGCATTTAAGACAATCTAATTGTTAATTTGTATGCTTAAAAGCTAAACTATCTCTGAAAGAGCACCTGTCCAAAGGTCATTTCAAGTTGTTTACACCTTTCGTTCAATTCAGAATCGTAATGCTCCGAACAAAAGTCTTGAGTCTGGTGGCCCGAAGTGGCCCCAGCCGGCTCATGTCCACCGCCACCAAGCTGACGACCGTGGAGGTCAATGACAAAACAGGAATCGCCACGCTCACCATGTGCAGGGCGCCAGTAAATGGACTCAACTTGGAACTGCTCAAGGATTTAAAAACATCCATTGACGAAATCGAGAGCAACAAAAGCCGGGGTCTCATACTGACATCCGTAAGATAGTGCAATAAATTCTTGGCGCGCACATCTAATCAATCGCATAACACACTTGCAGTCCAATGCTACAATATTCTCAGCTGGTCTGGATATCATGGAAATGTATAATCCCGAAAAGGAGAGGATTCGTGCCTTTTGGACGCAACTGCAGGAGGTTTGGCTTTCCCTCTATGGTAGCAGTGTCCCCACCGCAGCTGCCATCAATGTAAGCTTCCAGCCACAGAAACCCACGCCTGCTCTAACGATTTGTTTTCGTAGGGCCACTCCCCCGCTGGAGGATGTCTTTTGGCCACATCTTGCGAGTACAGAGTTATGCTGCCAAAATTCACCATCGGCTTGAATGAGACGCAACTGGGCATTGTGGCGCCCAAGTGGTTCATGTCGTCTTTCCTAAGCGTTCTCCCACAACGTCAGGCAGAGCGGGCTCTCAATCAGGGGCGTATGTTCTCGACAGAGGAGGCCTTGCAGATTGGCCTCATCGACGAGACTGCCACTAGCAAGGAAGAGGCGGTGGAAAAGTGTGCCGCCTTCTTAGGCACATTCGCCAGAGTGAATCCCTTGGCTCGGGCACTGACCAAACAGCAGTTCCGCGCAGCCGATTTGCAGCAATTGGAAAACGAGCGTAAGGACGATCTGGAGAAGTTTTTGTTTTTTATTAACCAGCCAGCCGTGCAGAAAGGTCTGGGCATTTATCTCGAAGGTCTGAAGAAGAAGGCCAAGAAATAACCATTTATTGAAATTATAATTGCCAATTATAAATAAAGCCATTTATCCCCGAATGTTGGAGAAAACTTGCTTCTGCGGCAACATTGTGATTCTGGGAAAGACACTGCAGGAGGAGACGAGAAACGATTTGGCTTTTCGAGGCCGACACCATCAAGGTGCTGCAGGAGTCTTATCAAGCATAACGACCGCTCGTTTTACAATCAGTTTGTTACAAATTCAAACCAGAGGTGCGACGATAGGATAATCGAATGGAAAAATACAGTCGTTGGTCGATAGTGGCAGAACAGGCTCTGTTATAGCTGAGAAGATTATTTTGATTTTGGAATTCATCTGGGAGGTAATTTAAAAGGAGTGTGGAATACTTCAGAAATATATTTTATATACATAAATAGAATTCCTTCACTGCTTGTATAATTATATCATTCTATGCTTTACAGCTTCAGGGCAACAATCTGCAAACCGGCAGAACAAAGGTCATCTTTTGTATACTTTGGTGATAGCGATGTTTTCCAGACTCTTGAGCTTTGTGGGCCGCACAGGCCGCAGACGTCTCATGTCCACCGCTATCAAGCTGACCACCGTGGAAGTAAATGACAAGACCGGCATTGCCACGCTCACAATGTGCCGTCCCCCCGTAAATGGACAAAATTTGGAACTGCTATTGGATATTAAATCATCCATTAACGAAATAAAGAACAACAATAGCCGTGGTCTCATAATAACATCCGTAAGACACTCTTTAAACAGGATACGTACCAGCATAATTATAGTATTTATTCCCAGGCTAGTCCGAAGGTATTCTCTGCTGTAAATGTATTGAAATGAATCACAGGGCCACGCCCCAGCAGGAGGATGTCTTCTGGCCACAGCCTGCGAGTATCGTGTTATGGTGCCAAATTGTATAATTGGACTGAATGAAACCCAACTTGGGATTATTGCGCCCAAATGGCTGGTTTCGGGCTATCTGAACATCCTGCCAAAACGAGTGGCAGAGCGGTCTCTCACTCAGGGTCGCTTGTTCACCACGGATGAAGCCTTGCAGGAGGGCCTGATCGACGAGATCGCCAACAGCAAAGAGGAGGCTGTGGACAAGTGTGTCGCCTTCATAGGCACGTTCGCCAAAGTGAATCCCGTAGCCCGTGCTCTGACCAAGCAACAGTTCCGCGCGGACAATTTGCGCCAATTCCATAAGGAACGCGAACAGGACGTGGATGATTTCCTGTCCCTGGTCAACCGGCCAGAGGTGCAGAAGGGTATAGCCATTTATCTCGAAGGTCTGAAGAAGAAGGCCAACAAGCAATGATCATTTTTGTTATATGTAAAACCAAATATCAACTGAAATTTCATGTTCTGTTTTGATCCAACTAAATTCGTTCCACCCGATAGGCAGTTTTCATGATACCGCGCTATCGATTGCAGATCAGCTGACGCTGCGGCTTGATTTTTTTGTTTTCTTTCGGTTCGCAAATGAAAAAAACCAGCTTATTTGTTTAATTTTATGCCTGTCGCTGAGTGCGTGATTGCTGCTCAAGTTCAAAAGTCTTAGAAATGTTGCGCAACAGCCTAATAGGCAGTCTCCGACAGATAAAACCCATCCTTTGCAGCCAATCTTTGCGATCGCTCTCAAATGGAGCAAACTCGGGTCTTACCACGATCGAAGTGGACGACAAGAGTGGGATTGCCACATTATCGATGAATCTGCCGCCCGTAAACACTCTCACCTTGAATCTGATGCATGATCTAATTGATTCCATAAACCAGATTGAGTGCAACAAGAGCCGTGGGCTCATTTTGACGTCGGTGAGTCTGCGCAATGGACAAAGGCTTTCTATGACACGATTTCGTTGTGATTTTCCAGAGCAATGACAAGGTTTTCTCCGCTGGACTTGACCTCAAAGAGCTGTACAAACCCGATCAGGAGAGGTTGAAGGAATTCTGGACGATCTTCCAAGACCTGTGGCTGGCCCTGCATCTCTGCGGCATTCCCACAGCAGCGGCCATTAATGTAAGTCCCTATTCTGCATCGAACAAGCCCCCTAATCGTTTTACCATTTCAGGGTCATGCGCCTGCCGCTGGTTGCATTATGGCCACGGCCTGCGAATACCGTGTCATGCTGCCGGATTTCGTCATCGGAGTGCATGCCACGCGGTTTAGTTTCCTCGTCTCCAAGTGGATGATGCTCTCCTACCAGAGTGTGCTGCCACGGAGAATTGTCGAGCGGGCGCTGAACCAAGGTAAGCTATTCAGCACTCAAGAGGCCCTGGAGGTGGGTCTTATCGATGAGGTAGCCGGCAGCAAAAAGGAGGCCCTGGCTCAATGTGCTGCCTTCATTGGCACCTTTGACAAGGCCAATCCCATTGCCAGAACACTGACCAAGCGAATGTGTCGGGATTCCGATGTCACCGAGTTGCTCAGGGATCGTGCCGGAGACCTACGTGCCTGTGTGGACTACATCAATACTCCCCTGTTCCAAGAGGGACTGAGCGCCCACCTCGAGGGCCTCAAGGAGAAAAAATAGAAGAAATAGCATCAAACTGATGCTGTCCAAAATGCTGCATTTATTGAAATTTATATTAAACTGTTACTCCCAAAACTATTCTTGGTTCAACTCCTGTGGAAGATTGCCTAGAGCCTCTGTCATCATTTCCATGAACGAATTGATTTCCAATATTTTGGCACGATGGCGGTCCACTTCCTTGCTGAAAAGAGTGTCAATAGCTTTCTGTTGCCTTTGAATTCAGTTTCCACTCACTTGTTCAGCTGCTGGATCATCTTGTCAATGAACTCCTTGCTGCGCTTGGCCATGCGATCCTCGCGCTCATCAACGCGATAGGTGTGGGCTGTCCGCATCCCTTCGACCAGCTTCAGGACCTCCTCGCGATCGTCCACACACATTGTTAACTCTTTGGGAACAGACCCGAGTTCCTGACGAGATAATTTGTCGGAAAGAAATTGCGTCACGATATCCGTCATGTTGTCTGCAAAGTGCCCGCAGACATCGCGGAGCTGGAGGAAGAACACCTGAGCCTGCTCCACAAAGCTGGCCATCAGCTGGGAGATCTTGCGATGGAAGTTTAGCGTGGATTCCTGCGGAGTTGGAGAATATTAGTTTAAGGAATCATTCAATCATCTGCTCCCCACCTCAACAGCCTCGTGCAAATGTAGTTCCTGAGACATCAAGCTCTGCCACATCTCGTTAAGGGCATCATCAAATTGTCCATTGAGGGTGTCCAAATGGGAGTACTCTTCAGACCCGTCTTCACTCTCCTCCAGCTCTCTCAACTTCGAGCGTAACACTTCAAAAGTTCGCTCCTTGTATTGCAGAAACTCTTCGATCTGCGACTGGCCCAGCGACTGCAGCTCTTGCTGGCCCTCCTGCAGGTTGGCATTAAAGTCTCGGATCTCCTCTTCGCGTTCTCCAAACCGCTTTAGACCCAGTTTGTAGATACTCTGAGTCAACTGATGGACATCTTTGGCATACTCTTCTGAAAGCTCATGCGCCGGAGCCCCCACCAGCATCAGTATTCGCCCGTTCTCGTCGTCTCGCCACAGGGAATCGTAAAGCTGCTGACCGTCTAGATGCTCCACAAAGCTGGATGCCAGTCGCTCTGCTTCGGCTGCCTCCCTAGCATCCGTTTCAAGGGCCTGAATCTCGCGCTCCTGTTTGTCCTCGATCTCGCGTAGTTCACGACTGTTGGAGAAAAGAGTTGGTCATCCGCATAAGGGAATGGATGAGTGACTCTCACTAGAAACGCTTCTGCGCCGCTTCCCGGGTGTCCGCCTTGATGAAAACGTATTCGTAGTAATTTAATTTAGGCAGAATGGCAGTCACATAGAGAGCAAGTGGAAAATCTGGCTTCTGCGCAATGGGATTACCTTCCAGATTCAAGACTTTCAGGCTGTTCAAAAAGCGCAGTCGCTCGATCTAGTGGGGAAGATGTAATTTAAAGATGTCATCTCTTAGCCAGAGGTCTCACCCCATCCACCGTGTCGATCAGATTATTGCCAATGCTGAGGATGACTAGCTTTTTGAGGCTAAGGTTCTCAATTCTCCTGATGCGATTGCTGAACAACGAGAGGGTTTCCAGGTTAACCAGCGTCTCCAGGTTCTCGATTTTGGTGATGTAATTGAAGCTGAGATTCAGCTCCTTGAGGGCCGTGAGCATTTCAATGTGCTCTATGACCTCGATTTTGTTGCAGTTGAGGCACAGCTTGGTGAGATTGGGCAGCATCCAGAGGTGGTCGATCCGCAGGAGATCTTCAAAGGAATCCTTCAGATTAGACCCGCTCCAGAGCACTCTTGCGCAGCCCCCCACTCACTTTTGAACTCCAGCCGCATGGTTCGAATACGCTCGTAGACCACTGGCTCCAGCTGATGCAGGCGACCCGACTCGCCCTTTTGTCCCTCCCCCAGGTAGGCGGTCTCGATCATCTGCCGATCAATGATGCCCGGCTCTGGGCAGTTGACCTCCTCCAGGAAGCCCCTCACCGGCTCCTCCATCTCATCCCCCGAACCCTGGCTGACCGGCTCGTCCATTTCACTTGACTATCGCTCAACATTTGCCCAGCGGTGTCGCCGTGGAGCGACGAGTGCATTCCATATCAAGGTTATGGTTGCTGGGGCAACCGAAAACAACAGAGACCTGCCTAGTTACCACCTGGTCCGCGGTCTGTGCGTGTTACACCCTGTCGCTGACTCTTGGAACAGGTGCAAGGAGTTCCTGTCTCTCCGGTGCGGCCGGCTCTCCATCCCGATTGATTTCACTCGTAGACATTCGTGCGTTCGGCTCTCTGGGGGTGCAGCGGAGGCGAGGGATGGTCTAGTTAGGGTTGCGGTTGTTTAGGTTGTCGGGTTGTTGTGGATATCGGCTCTGGCAGTTGTTAATGTTTGCTTCTAAAATAAACTCCTGTTCGCGAGGGATACCCACTTAGGGCGAAACTCGAGAAATCTCCATTCAATTCGTCCGGCTCAAATCAACCAGAGATCAACTGGAGATAATCGGATTCAAATGCGATTGTGGCTGAGGTACGACTAGGGAATAGGGAAGCGAAGCCTTTCCTCGCATTGGATAACATACTAACTAGGCAGCAGACCCCATTGACCGAAAAGCAATCGATAAAGTGACCCCCGAACCTTTCAGTTTGATTATTTGTTTGTACACAGTGCGAAAAGTCGCATATCTTATATAGTACTCCTTAAATCCAATCCCCCCCGAGATGTGCGTGTCCCAAGTGCAAATCTAATAAATTAGTTAAATGTGAATGGGTTCAAGGCTTCGGTGCGGGCAGCCCAGCACTTGGACTATTAAAGTCACACCAAAACGTGACTCAAATCGCCCTAAGACTCCTCCTTCCCAAAACGTAAGTCAAAATTATACACACAAGTACGTACATGTGTATCTAGGAGCTACCATACCATACGTACATATGTTTGTATCTATGTAGGCAATGGAAAGGAAGGTTCGCCAACTCAAGGAACTGAATTCGCAGTGTCCATTCTATTTATCAAATTTATTATCACGATTCCTAGTATCTGCCTAATCCAAAGGAATACCATCTACCAGTTGCCATGGCTCCTGAGATTCCAACAATGAGGAGTACTAATATGCTCATCTTCATCTTTAGATTTTGAATGAGTTAAGTTCTCCAAGAATTGGATCTTTATAGAAATTCCCCGTCCCCAATCGAATTCGCAATGCCCTAATAAAAGTGTTTCCTACCTAATGGATCCCTGATTATGTCCGGTGCTTGTATAAGTCTCTCGTTGGACTTTGGACCAAAGCCATGTGGATTCAACGTGACTCAAAACGCCTTTAGATTCCTCCTTCACAAAATCTAAGCTAAAGGAGTCATGCAGGAGTAACCTTACGTATGTATGTATCTGTATCTGTGTTGTGTATTCCCACCTCAAGTAACTGAATTCGCCGACTGACCAAAAGACCATTACGAAACAATAAGGGGGACGTTTATTCAGTTCAGTTTTTTTTTTAAATATAATTTCACGATTCCTAGTATCTACCACATTAAAGAAATACCTTCCTCCAATGGCCATGGCCCCTGATAGTCCAGCAATGAGGAGTACAAGAGTGACAACTTATGGATTCCTGATTATGTCCGGTGTTTGCATAAGCGCCCCTTGTGGAGAACCTTTTAGTACATGCTAATCGATAAAAGACCCCCTTTAAATATTTAAGCTTTACTCAAAAATGCATGACTAATGGTATATTGAAATGATACTAGAAGGATTCCCGATCGAAATGAGAACGCAGTAATGCTTTGGTCATAGTCGGTATCCAAAAGTTAAAAACGCGTTCGATTACGAAAGATTACGAATCTTCTATAAAAAACACAGACGGATGCGGATCCAACGCATTTCGAAACTGAAGATGAAACTAAAGATTCTTGTACTCCTCATTGTGGCCACTGCCAGACAGGGGCAATTTTCTTATGCACTAAAGTAGGTTGACTATTGTCATGCCGGACTATGCTAGAAATTTGCAGTCTTGGCTCGCAGTTGTTTGGAAGAACAACTGTATATAAATCGTAGTAGGTGGTCGTCTCTTGTCATACAAAAACTGAAGATGAAGCCGAAGATTCTACTACTGTTCATTGCGGCCTAAATCAATGGAATGAAAATCAATGCCTTCCATTCATCAGGTCATTAAATTTCAAATTGCCAATCATTCAGCTCTTGTTTAATTTTTATTGAGTTCTTCTTTAATTTATATTCAGTTCTTGGTTAATTCTTTGGTTCTGTAATGTTCAGGGGTCACAAAAACGTCACATTTTGACTTATGCTAACAAATGGTAATATTACCCCTCATAACCGGAACCCAAAAGTTAAAAAGGCGTTACCAATTCGATTAGGGAAGGGTATGTAAATCTTCTATAAAAGACACATAAACGGATGCGGATCGAAATCATTTCGAAGCTGAAGATGAAGCTAAAGATTCTTGTACTCTTCATTGTGGCCAATGCGGAAATTTCACGATATTCGTTTGATCTGGGCAGAAAATAGCATTAAATTTTCCCTACCCACTTATTCAGCTCTTGTATTCTTGTGTTCTTCTATGTAGTAGTATAGAATCGTAGTACAAGGTGGTCTATTGTCATATAAAAACTGAAGATGAAGCTGAAGATTCTACCACTGTTCATTGCGGCCTACCTCAATGAGAGCTAGTTCTGCCATTCCTCAGGTCATTAAATTTCAAATTGTCAATCATTGAGTTCTTCTTTAATTTATATTCAGTTCTTGGTTAATTCTTTGGTTCTGTAATGTTCAGGGGTCACAAAAACGTCACATATTGACTTATGCTAACAAATGGTAATATTACAATTACCCCTCATAACCGGAACCCAAAAGTTAAAAAGGCGTTACCAATTCGATTAGGGAAGGGTATGTAAATCTTCTATAAAAGACACAGACGGATGCGGATCGAAATCATTTCGAAGCTGAAGATGAAGCTAAAGATTCTTGTACTCCTCATTGTGGCCAACGCCTGGACTGGACGATATTCTTTTGGAATAGGCAAAGATTAGCATTCCATTTTTTCCTAGCCACTCATTGAGTTCTAGTTTGATTATTGACATTGCCTGTTGAATTGCGAAGATGGGCACGGCAGTGAAGCAAACACCTAATCTAATCAGAAGTAAAGAAGCGGTGTTTTAGAATACTAATGGGAGATGACATTTAGTTCAATTCAGTTCAGTTTATTCTTGAATTATCACGATTTCTAGTAACTTCCAAATCCAAAGTAATACCTTCCTCCAATGGCAATGGCCCCAGATAGTCATACTATGAGAAGTAAAAGAATTTATAGCTTTTATAACCTTGATTCCTTTGGAATTGTAAAAACGTAGCATTAAGATGAAGCCGAGCATCCTTTCAATTTATATCTTGAGGAACGTGCTCATTTATTCTTGGGGTATAATATAATATTATATAATAATATAATAAACATCACACAGGTGTTTCTAAATGCTCTATTTGTTCCGCTTATCCATCTTATGGATTCCTTACTGTTCTGGTGTTTTTCATTCTTAACCCTTTCGGTTGTGGCATTGAATCGGCAATGCCATGACAGCTTTTAATCAGCTGTGAATTTGTCCGGATTTTTGTTAATCGACAGTAATTGTGTTCCATTATCTGCGGATATTGATTTGTGTGTACTTTCCTTCGGAAGCGGCACGAGTTGTAATTACAGACCCGTCACCGCTCTATATCCTATCCTCATTCTGTCCCATTCACGTATGATGGTATCTCTGACCTTGACGGAGAGTTGTTTTTTTGGTTAAATCAAATGAAATTCGGTCAAGCTTATCGGTTGGGTGCCTCTGGATCAATATATTGATTCCAATTGGATAGGTGGCATCCGAGAATCGGGCACACACGTCCGGCCAACGGGCTCATGGCCGATTCGATTCGATTACCTTTTTTAGTGCATGTCATTTAATTGAAACTCAGATTCTTTTGAGGTTTTCCCGTCTGGCTAGAGGTGCATAAATAATAAAAAAGGCTTTCTTGCTTGCCCATAAATTACACTTTTTCTTTTCTTTATTTCTTTGTGCAGGTGCATCCAGAGACTATGTGAAGAACTGAAGAGTGCCATTCTATTGTAATAAGCATGAACCGATATATAACGCTGACCCAACTGGGGGACGGCACCTACGGCACCGTCGTGCTGGGCCAGCGCAAGGACACCGGCGAGAAGGTGGCCATAAAGCGGATGAAGCGAAAGTACTACTCCTGGGAGGAGGCCATGAACCTGCGGGAAGTTAAGGTGGGTCCTAAACAAGCACTAGAGTTTGACTCCTCCCGAATTAGCGCCTTCCATTTTCAGTCCCTGAAGAAACTGTCGCATCCGAACATCGTCAAGCTCAAGGAGGTGATCAGGGAGAACGACACCCTCTACTTTGTGTTCGAGTACATGAAGGAGAACCTCTACCAAATGATCAAGGATCGGGACACCCACCTTCCCGAGCCAGAGCTGAAGAGCATTCTCTTCCAGGTGAACACTCAGCTAGAAATGAGATATTTTGCCATCTATAATCCAATTAACCCATCTGTTTAGGTTCTCACTGGCCTGGCCTTCATGCATCGTCATGGCTTCTTCCATCGGGATCTCAAGCCGGAAAATCTCCTCTGTTCCGGCCCGGAGCTGATCAAAATAGCAGACTTCGGTTTGGCAAGGGAGATTAGGTCGAGGCCGCCGTTCACGGACTATGTGTCGACGCGGTGGTATCGGGCGCCAGAGGTGCTGCTGCACTCCACCAACTACGGCAGCACCATCGACTTGTGGGCAATGGGCTGCATCATGGCCGAGCTGTACACGTTCCGACCGCTCTTTCCGGGCAGCAGCGAGGTGGACCAGCTGTTCAAGATCTGCTCCGTGCTGGGCACGCCAGAGAAGGTGAGTGCAGCTCAGGACCACAACAGAACATTATAATCTGGAAATATGTTATTTTTATTGCAGGGTGACTGGCCGGATGGTTACCGATTGGCGTCCATGATCCACTTCCGCTACCCAGATTGCATCAAAGTGCCACTAAGCAGCGTGGTTAGCCGCTGCAGCCAAAACGGACTCGATCTGCTCGAGGATATGCTCGCCTACGATCCCGACAAGCGTCCCACAGCCCAGCAGAGCCTCAAGTATCCGTACTTTCACGCCCTCAAGCGGATCTCTCCCACGGCGGCCACCAAGGCGAATGTCCGCCTGAGCTCCAAGTATGCGGCGGCTTCTTCTGGCCAACTGCTGCTACCTCAGACCCAAACTGTGTCAAACCACGTGCTTCCGGTGCAGGAGAAGCTCCAGGCTGTCACCGAACTCATCCACCAGGGCAACAACAACATGAACAATATGAAGAACATAAACAACAACAACAACAGCAGCCTAAGCAATGGCAAGAGTGTTTCAAAGAACGTGAGCATGCCGAGACAGTACCAGCCGAAGCTGAACTTCCTAACCAGCAACGACATGCGCATGCCTGTTGCTGGTGGAGGAGCGATCCCACACGCCCTGGCAGACTCTTCCAGCCTGGGCGGGCCCACAGGAGATCAGGGCCAGCCACAGCATCAAAATCAGCCACAGAACGGAGGTGAATCCATAAACGACATCTACTTGAATCGCAACATTGCACAGCTTTTTGGATTGCCAGCAGCAGCGGGATCTCAACAGCAGCTGTACCACCCGAATGTCTCCTTCAGCAACACCATGTCCCGCAACGCCGGGGCTATCTATGTGAACGGAAGCCAGCTGAGCTACGACACGGCCAACAAGAATGCCAAGAACAATGCCAAGCTCGTTGTTGGCGCAGCTGCCACCAACGGAGGCTACTATGTACCGGCGACACGTAACTCCCTCCTTGCCCCTGATGCCAAGGTCTACAACGTGTTCTCCAAGGTGAGCGCCAGCCATGCCCCGCCCAGTATAATCGTGCGCCAGCCACAGCAACAGCAACAGCAGCAGCATCAACATCCCGCCTATGAAGCATCATCAATGTTGGGTGGAGGAGTACTCAATGGAGCCGCCATTCGGTTGTCCGCGCGATCCCGTCCGCCCGGGCAGGAGTCCACGTTAAGATCCGATGATCTGGACCAGATACTCGGGTGAGTTGTTTGTCATTAGAAGGGAACGACTGTAGGCACACTTTCTTGAGCACTTTACTGTGTAGCATCCTTATCTATTGTTCGCTGCACTTGAGATTCATTCCGTTCACTCCACCATGTAACTTTGTCTTTGTGTTTCGTGCAGCTCCAAGCTGAAAACCTCCGCCAAACGCCAGCGTAATGCCAAGGCCAACATGCTGCTGGAGGACCTGTTTGGGCAGCTGTCGATGGACTCCGATAGCGACGGCAAGTACCCGCACACGGTGCCGCCCACTCAGCAAGCTAAGAGTGGGGCCCGGCGAGAGCGCGACCTCTTCGGCGAGAGCTTCCTGCGGCCCGGCATCCGAAAGAAAAATACCCAGAGCAGCCTGGAGGTGAACAACGGCAGTCACGCGGACTCGCTGTAAGTAGGAGGCGGAGGAGGAGGCTCCCTGGCCTGCATGCTCTTGTAGACCTTGTCCCATGCTTCTTTCAATCCTCTGTCATTCATGTCGTCCATGTTGTGCTCTTTCTATACATTGTGCTCTGTGTCTTTCTCCATTTCTCCCTTTCTCTCTCTCCCCTCTCTCTCTCTCTGTGTGTTTCTCTGTCATCGTTTTGTGTCTTTTCATTTGCTTGTCATTGAACATTTTGTGTGGGTGCCACAAGTGATAACTCCTCCTCGTCCTCCCCCTCAATTGATGAAGAATGTCGCTTTTGGCCCATAAGGTAAAAACCAACATTCGACGCCAAGTTGTAAATACATTTGAGAAGAAGTAGAAGTATCTAGAAATAGTGTCACTATATCATTGCATCTGTACGATTACCGTAGTCACAACTTATTATTTGCCTACCTCTGTGTACGTAGCGTTTTGGGATAAACTACTATCCCAATTATTGCTTTGAATTTGATTTATGTATGGAACACAAATCTCCAGATAAACTACGATTTGAGGACCTAGAGATCCCTTACTGACTACGTAAGATTGAAATATCCATCCACACTCTTTCAGAGCACAAAACACACAGAAGCCGAAGCCAGCAGCAGGAACAGGTGCCGCGGCATTCCCCTGGGATGAGACCAACAAGACGGAAGATGAGAAGCTGACCGCCTGGATGGTGGCCGAGAATGGTAACTTGAATTTGGGTAATCAGCAAGCGTAGAAGTCGACAGCACTCCAATCAATCCAAATCAAGTAGTCGGTTAGCAACAGAAAATTCGGGCAGCACCACACCACAATCCACAATTCATTGAGCCATTGGCATGCATGGCGTTCCACCAGGTATTTCTATTATCCCATTATCATATTCCCAGGATCGCTGCTGGAGAATAAATTCTGAGGGGATCATTGACTAGCAAAGTGCCGTTGTACCTGAAACAGAATGAAATGAATACTCGTACTGAATCTGAATGCAAATCGTCAAATCATCCAATCATCAAACTATCAGTGCATTGAATCCAATCAGCGCGTAAAGTTAGAGTTAATGTTGTTAATGCTGTGATACAGAATAAGCTAAATATTAATCTAAGAGCGTAAGCTGTACTTTAATCTATGCTAATATAATCCGAGTGAGTTTTGAACAGCTAGATTGTTGATGATTCGCCCCCCCTTGCGACAGATACGAGTAGAGCTGGATCTGAAACTGGAACTGGAGATGGAGCAAGTGCAAGGGATTCGGTTTCATTTCCCTAATACGATTTCGACAAGAGTCGGTGCGCGTTGCATAAGCCCGAAGCATTGCACTGTTTGCGGGGGATTCAATTTCATCATCTCCCATAACTTGGCCACTGCGACAATGGGCCATGGGCTCTGCATATAAAAGCTAGTAGAGACAAGCCCTTAGTCATCAGTCGATTACGTTCCACCCACAGCTACAGCCCCATCTCCAGCTCCAGCGCTAGCTCCAGCATGAGTGCCCGGGTAAGCGCCAAACACTATGAAAGTCTATCCGCAGTCTAAAGAAGCCCTTGAGTAGTCTACCAGCATTGGCGTTTGCCTGATCCTGTGTGCATTTGCCGCTGTTCAGGCTGCCATCATCGCCAGCCACCCCGATGAGCTGATTTCCAGCCCACCTCAGTATGAGTTCCATTATGCCGTCCACGACAGCGAAACTGGGGATGTCAAGGACCAGTTCGAGCATCGGCGTGGCGAGTATGTAACGGGTCGTTACTCCCTCATTGAACCCGATGGCCATCGCCGAATTGTGGACTACACCTCCGATCCGCTGTTGGGTTTCAATGCGCAAGTTCGTCGTGAGCCCGTTGCCAGCATCTCCCGCTACTGAACAGACACCGAAAAGGGACAATCTCAGCGGACAGAACTCTGAAACTACCATATATCATATGATATGTATTTGTACAATATATCCACAGGCTGTTGTTTTAAAAGTGTTTGTCTGATCGAGATTGTTTTCTAAAAATGCATTTATTGCCTTCTATTTACACATAATATGTACAATATTACGCAGATGAGATAGGACCCCACTTGTACCGATATGAGGCGCTACCGGTAGTTGAGTGGCGAAGAGTCTTAGTGGAAAAGTCATCGAAGAGGAAGCAGAATAGACGCATAGGGCATGTGTAGAGCGTAGAATGTAGATACGATACGATACGATACGAGGTGGTGTCTGGGTGTCAGGTAAAACATAGTTCGGCTAAAGTTCAGATACAGATGCGGATGGGTGGTCGTCGTCGATGCGATGAAATCAGTGTTTGATATCTCTCTCTCTCTCTCTCTCTGCCTATCCAGCTCTTCGACTTATTGGTACAAGCCGAGGGGCAGTTTGGGGGCGGCGAGCAGCTTTGGGGCCCCATAGGCCAGGGGTAGAGGAGACAGGACCTTGGCAATGGGAGCAGCCTTGATCACCTTGTGGCCTAGAGGATCTCGGCGGACGACGGCATTGAAACCATTGTGGGCATCCGAGGTGTAGTCCACGGTACGCAGGTATCCATCGGCATCGATAAGTGTGTACTGGCCCTGCACTTGATCTCCCTTGCGGGACTCCGTCTGGCTCTTAATGTCGCCGGTGTGCTCGTCGTGCACCGAGTAGGCAAAGTCATAGTGGGCGGGCGCCTCAACCTCGACAGCCTTCAGCAGGGGCTTGACAAGACCCGGAGAGTGGTAGATGGGGCTCAGTGGGAGCTCGATGGCGGCGGCAGCGCCCACACCCAGGATGAACAGAGACAAAAGCTGCAATGGAGCGGATGGAGAACGGTGGTTAGTGGAGAATCTCCTTCTATGATTGTCTCTAATCCTTTTAACTTACAGCGAACATTTTGGCTAGGAATTTGTTTTCGATTTGGACGGTGGTGTCTTGGTAGTTGGCTTCACTTGGGGCTCCTGCACTGAACTATGTCTCCAAGTGTCGCGCTCGCAACTTTTATATAGCTCGTCGAGTCAAAGCTCTCTGGCCCCACCTCCATTCCAAATCCAAGCCCAAACACACGCACCACGCACCGCGAACCGGAATCCGGCTAATGCAAAATTGTTATCATTTTTTAATTTTATTTTTTGGCAAATTTTGTACTGTGGTAATAAAACATTCACAGTGCTTTGCTCCAGTTTGTAGCAACAATGTAGGCAAAGCTAAGCTCATGTTTCTGGATTGTCAATCGGGTCCTATGTGACCCATACGCCACAGTCATACAATGGAACCCAGCATACCATTCAAACTACGATCATGGTCCAAAGTCAAGTGAAAGTTGTCTGATATCAGAGAAGCAATTAATCCAATATGATAGGTTTTAGTTGGTTTTCGTGGGTTCAAAGATTTGATTTCGAATAATGGTATTTGATAGAGATCATGAGAAAGGAAGGATTGACCACAGACGGTAAGTATACTTAAGAGATCAATCTATAAATGTTCGTATCTTTATTGGCGTCTCCCCTTAGCCCTTTAAGTAAATTGTGGGGGCTACTTCACTTCCATTTTATCTCCACAACTCCACTATTAGGATCACTTTGCTGACAAGTTAACTGACATATTGAATGGCCGAATGGGAAGGGGATAAGCTTATCGCCGTCACAACAAACAAATTGCACGTTGACATTCGCAGATCGTTTGATCGACAAACCTGAGAAATGCCGTAAAGAGCTTTGCCGATTTTCCACTTAATTAATTAATCAAATTGCAACATCCGCCAGAGTGCCGTGCCCCCCAAGATCTCTGATCCGGCCAGATCTGGGTCTGGTCAGGTGGCAGTGCTGTCGCCTTCGCCTTTCACGCATGCTCCGCACACAAATCAATGCGAAAAAGGTAGGCAAAGTAAAGGCTCCAAACCAAACGAAACACCAAACACGTTGCCAAATTCAATATGAAGTAATATGCGCTGGAGTAGAGTGGGGTCAGGTGAAGTTGAGTGGGGTGGAGCTGACAGGCGGTGCGGTGCGTATGAGTATTCGTATTCGTATCTTGCGCCACATTCATTTAGAACAAGATTACGATTTCATTGCGAGTGGTCGTGGACCAATTTTGGAGTCGCCACCGCCTGCTCACGCACTTGGACAGTTTGACTTCTCTGCCCCTACTCCCCTACTCCCCAGGACCCCTGTCGCCCTTCTCCATCATCCGCGGGCGTGCTTGCTGTCGCCCGCTGTCCAGCATCGCCCAACCCAATCAGCAACAAGACATATAAATTTAAGTAGTCTCTATAAATAATAAGTTGTGTCTACTTAGCGACATGTACACACGAGTAGATCGTGTCCGATACAAGTGCGAGGAGGGGATTGGATTGGGGAAGGGAAGCAGTTTAGCTCATTCTGGCCGATCACTGTGGATTACCGCCAGATCGGTAGACAAATAGCGGAGAAAATAAAATATTGGGCCAAATATCCATAATCATTGATAATGTCTGTGCCAAATCAAGGATTTTCTTCAGATCACAGGAAGCCGTGGCACACCCAGATCGGCCCGATACGTATGACAGAGGAATATATCAGTAAGCTATCCTTATTGTCCTTGGTATTAAAATGACTCCAAACAATCCGGGACACGAACCCGATCACAAGGAGGGGCCAAACGTTCAAATCGGATGAGAAATTGATATAGCGATTTAATTAACAATCGGTTTACTAATTTAAAAAAGCGTTACGCATGTTTTTACATGACTTCTACTTTCTTATTATCGCCCCCAGTAAGATCAGCGGTGAGTTCTCGAACTAATAATATAATTTAGTACCATCAGTAGCCGTCGACCGCCACCAGTGAAAATTTAGTTCAAAAAATCCCCGGTGACCGGTGGGAGCGCCACTGTACAATAAAAAAAAAAACAGCGACCTTCTGCTGATTTATGTTCGCCTGGTATCCCAGATCTGAAATTTCTCGTTTTCTGTCATTTGAGCACTCGCAAGTTGAGGGCTGTTGTTGTACTACAACAACAACAATTGTTGTACAACAATTGACAACAACAACAACAGCATTTTGGACAACAACAACACTCAGCTTGCGAATTCTCAAATGACAGAAAACGAGAAATTTCAAATGTGGGATACCAGGCGAACAGAAATGAGCAGAAGGTCGCTGGTTTTATTTAATTTTTTTCTCTACGTTTTGAGCCCCCAAAAGTATGCAAAACAAATTCCCAATCGCTCTTTGTGGGAAAATCGCAAATCGCTGTAACTCCGCCATTTTACATACGATCGGGACATGCTACACCTCATCGTGATCCGAAGAAAATCCCCGATTTTTGTATATCAAGGACAATAAGGATATTATCTTTTAGCTCTACAGATCTACTCCGATTTAGAAAATTCGGTGCTCCCCTGGCGGCGACCAGACCTACAATCCTACGGTAGAGGTCCTTCGATGTCCTTTGCTTTTGATACAATTTTCAAAATAGGCGATATATCTAGGGCAAATAGGCCCAGCTCGACGAAGAATTTACTTTGCCAGGATCGTGAGGATCCAGACTTTCAACCCCCATTGAAATCTCTGCTATGAGAATTTCAATTTATACCGGCTGTTGCAATCAAATTTTACGCATTTCTAAAATTTTTATTATCCATTTCGATTGCGGTTTTTTTTTTGTTTTTTTGAAATATCAAAAATTGCAAATAGATACATATTCACTAATTTTTCAGATTTTTCTTAATTTTTCAGATGTGTTAAAAATACGACGCACATAATACACATAATCATTCGTCCACATATGAATTGTATATGCAAAAAATTTAAGGAAATCGCTAGCACATTGCACTACGTAGAGCTGTATAATAAATATTTTCATAATAATTGGCAATTTCGAAAAAGGTGAAACTTGCACTTTGCTTGTACTTTAAACCATCAGTTCGTCATTAAAAATGCAATAATAATAAACACAATAAGAACAATAAAAACGAACAAATGGTTTTAAGTACAGACAAATTGCGAGTGAGGTAAACAAAAAAGCAAAAGCTGTTAACAAGAATTAATGCCACGGTCCTCAGCGGACGACGTGCCGCAAGTGGCTCATTGTCTGAGGGAGAATGACAGCTTGGGCCTGGAATTGTTTTTCCCTAATATGACTTTTTGCTCCTCTTTGACGCGTTTTTCCTGTTCTTTGCGCATGCGTTGGCGTTCCTCGTCCATCAGACGCTGCTCTTCAATTATTGCTAAGCGTTCCTCGGCCTAAAGCAACACAGAAAAGCATTAAGAAAATTTTTTAAGTAATAATAATCTTTGATAGCTTACCAATTTTCTTTGAGCCTCTTCTATTTTACGATTATTTTCGGCCAAAATCTCTTCAAGCTCTTCGCGTTTTTGCTTTTCATCCTCCTATAAAACCCAAACAAAATGTCGTATTAATAAAGCATGCCTAGTATTTTAACCATAGCTTATAACTATGAAATAGAAACAGTTTCTTGACATCAGCGATGCGATGCAAACTATGCGATAATTGGACGCACAGAAGTTTGTGGTTGCAGTTTTTCATTTTTTTTTTTTGCTTGATGGGCTGCAAATGCAGTTAAATCTATTTTTATGTTTAACAATAAGTTACAAAGAAAATTTTGGTGAAAGTAAAAACATTTAGTAGTGTCTAATAAGAATGTTTTAAGTAAGTTCTTCTTTTAGTTTATTACAATATAATAGCACACAACATAAACAAATGTACTAGTATTTCTAAATTGTTGGTCATTTCATTTATTTTTTGTTTTTTTTTGTTTTGTTGCTACTTACTATTTAAATGGGTCATTATTCCAGTATAATGGCTAAATTTGTTTGGTAATTTTTAGACTTTTTGGATATTTTTCGTTTTGATTTTTTTTTGTTTTGCTAATTCCATACACATTTTTTGGAAAAATAAAAAGCTTCAAAAACAAACATGAAAATCGCAAACTGGGTACGAAAATGTGGAAAAACGGCAATCCGGCTTAATAAAATATTACAAACTGATGTTCTATAAAACTAAAACCTTGGCGAGTGAGTCTTAAACTATCTTCAGTCTTCTGGTTGTCGATCACATATTGTTTAGCTATGTACGTTATAGCTTGTATCGTTATATCGTTAGATGTTGATGGCTTATCACATCGTCCACGAGATATCTTTTGCTTAGGACACTCACCCGTCATTTGTCTTTATTTTTCAAGCAGCGTACAGATGGAACTAAGTAGTCGGCAGGCTCAAAGCCCGCCCCCACAACTAGACCACCTAACTATCGCAACTAACTTAAAGACTTCAAGACTGTACGCGAACCTGGGTTTTTTAGAGAAGAGTAGAGGAGTGCGCGAGCAACCTTTGCTTATCTGTGCTTCCATGGACCAAGGGCTTCACAGCATGCTTGCTTTAACTCCGGCACGGGGCTCTGTGTGATTTGCTGGGATTTCTGTGTATTTTTTACGCACTTTCGCATGAAACACGCACTTACTCGTACATACAACAAGAGTATCACGCTGAATACGGTCTACAAAAAGCGTAGTATGCGCCCAATGATAACAACGGGTTACAAAAACCAATACCAAAATAAAATTTTAAATAAGATGTAGGTAAGAACAAACAAAGGATGAAGCTAATAGTAAACGTATGCAATATTTTTTGGGCATCAAAACTGTGACACATGCGACACTTGGCAATGTCGTTATTTTGGCTTTTTTGGTAGGAAAAATAAAAATTACAAAATTATTGGCAAGAAGATAGATGCGAAACCTGCCGCGGCGTTCCCAGGTGGGGCTCAGTGGGGTTGTGTGCAGGCGTGTGGCGATAGAGGCGAGCTGAAAAATGCCAGGTTAGTGATGCAAGAGGTGGTGGGGTGTTAGCCATGTCTACGCCTTTAAACAGTTAAATATGGGGTGGTTCATGGGTTATGCAAGTTATTTAAATGAAGGGATGGGGGTTTGGGAATATTTTACAGATGCATGTACACACGCGCACACTGAGCCGTTGCTGAAAACGCCGCTTGAGCAATTTCTGGTGGCATTGTGAAGACGACTGTTTTTAACTGCTGTTTAATTTTGTTCATGTTTTCGGTAGTTGTCGTTTTGTGTGTAGTTTTCTGACAGTGATAGCAGCAGTCGTCCAGCGAAATCTGATTACGAGCACCTACCTCGCGACGGCGTTCTTCTTCGCGTATCTGCTCGCGCCGCCTCTCCAGTTCCAGCATCATTTCTCGCTCCATTTCGGCCTTGGCGGTCTCGACGCGACGGTTAACCTCTTGTTCAATCTCATCGCGCCGCTTTTCTAGCTCCTCCTCAACACGCTTCTTAACCAGCATCTCGATACGTTTCGCTGCTTCCTCCTCGACAGTTTTTTGCTCAGCCTCTTTTTGTCGACGCTGCCGCTCCATTTCCGCCAGACGCTCCACCTGCAACTGGTTTTGCTGCAAAAGATTTTTGATAAATTCAGTTTAATTCCGATTGTAGGAAACACCACTTACTTCGTCCAGCTTCTTGAAGCGGCTGCGCTTGTGTCTGCTACGCTGAGACTCATGGTCCGAATATTGGCTATCCCCGCTCGATGAACTGGACCGTTTTCGAGTCTTTGATATAGATGGTGAGCTGCGATATTCTGTATGCCTGTCGCTCCGATGCCTCTCGCGGTCTCGGTCACGCCGGCCATGGTGGTTCACCTCTGTGGATTTATCTCTGCCAGTTCTCGTGCTGCTGCGCTCGTGGTCGTGGTCCCGATCCCGATTGTGAGACTTACTGCGTTTCTTGTGCTTGCTTTTGTGATGCCGGCGCTTTCCCGACGTGCTTGGGGTGCGTGAACGGGAACCCATAGTGAAATAATTACTATTATTTCTATCACTGGCTTTTAATTAAGCCGCTTTCAGCTCACACAACAAAACAATCTATAAATTTATACAATTTTCACAATGCTCGAAAACAGTGCTGTTAACGTTGTTACAATCCATTCTTTTACACCTTTTACAGTACTTTTTTTTCATGGTATTTTTTAGTGTTTTTCTTAAATAGTGTTGTATAATTTGCGACTCTTTGTTTATTGTTAATGTTTTTATAATTTGATTGTAATTTTCAGCTCTGCTGGCGCTTTTCCTGGGTCAAAATCATTTCGTGAAACTTGTCAATCATCACTTGATTATCCTTAAAACCAACGCACTCCTTAGCCGCCTCCAAGCCCAGCCACTTCAATTCCGTATGCTCTTCAGATAGAATAGGTTCCTGGTTGGGATTACGGAGCTCAGCCAGCCAATAGATAACAATCTTTGGTTTTCCCTTCACCTCATAATTAAGCGTTATTGGGGTGTTTTGGTGTATAATCAAGTCCTTTTCGTCATAGCTGTATATGCGCGTTTGACGCGTTTCAATTAGATGGTGTACAAATGCATTGTATAGTAAATCACTTGCCCGGCTTCCTCTTTAGTTTCCCGCAGCGCTGTGGTGAAGTCGTCCTCTCCCGGATCGACATGACCCTTGGGTGCACTCCAGTGAAAGCTGCCATAGGAGGCTTTTAACAATAAGTACTGTATCTCCCCACAGAGACGACGAAAAATAACAAGTCCAGCCGCTTTTTTCATTTTCTTGCTGTTAATTGGCTCAGTGCTGGAAAGTTTCATCAGGTAAAAAGATATGTGTTGTAAAGATTAGAACTGAGCTCGATGTGCACGTTTTTGAGTGAATTCATTACATAAAAAATTGTTAAAATTACTTACACGATGTACGCATTACTTCGCCGATTTGCGGGGGCCGCCTCTACCCCCACCAAAAAACTGAGATGTTACTCTTCCTTCACGCCGAGAGATGTGCTGCGGGACACCGCCGATGAGGCCGGCACGCTGCTCACACGGTTTGCCAAACACATCGCTCTGGAGCGGTACAAGGATAAAGAACATGTGCTGCCTCCGACGACAGTGCGGTATGCCGACTATTTTCCAATCACAGACGGTCGCTACTTCCAGCGATCTGTGGAGAAGACAGATGCTTCACAACTGCCAGCGCTGATCATTCTAGCTTCAAGCTATCGTTCGAATGCAGCTCTTCCTATGTATGTAACCGCTCTAAACACATTGGATGCACATGCTGTGGCACAGCTCGCAAAGATGGACACCTCAACAGTGCTTGAAACGCTGTATTCATTCCTTTTCCTCATACCAAACTGGCTGAAAAGAACGGATTTTCATCAGGAAGCAGTGCGCAGGCTGGCTATGGAGGATTTCCACGACAACAAAGAGCGGTTTCTGCAAGTTTGCTTTTACATGGGACTGCAAAAGAAGCAGACGACATCAAACGATTTTCAAGAGCTTCTGGAGGAGCAGCTTCCAAAGCATTTGCCAGCCCTAAGTGAACTGGATCTCGCTCTGATAAGCAATGCCGCCTACAAGACGTCCACTGTGATTAAGGGCACTGCGAAAGAGGCTTATGACACAACTTTGGCTAATGCCGTTTTGAGTTTGAAGCTCACTTCAGAAAGCTCTGCCCTGTTAATATCTTTCATCAAGGCTATGCGGCTGCAGCGTGTGCGAGACGAACGAGTGTGCCAGCATCTGCAGCAAATTTGTTTGGACTCTGCGCAAATAACTCAGATTGAACCCAGAGGATTGGGACACATTTTTGCATTTTTTGCCGAACAACTTTGGGACCAAGAAGAATGTCTGTCCGTCATAGTGGAGCGGCTAATGGGCTCTCTCAAGCCAGGAGACTTGAGGCCCAAAGACTTGGCCACATTTCTGTGGTCTTGCGCACAACTCAATTGCCAATTGTCTGCTGCGCAGCTCAGACAGCTCGAGCTGGCTGCCCTTCGAAAACTCGATCATGGCGAGTATAATTTTTACCCAGACAACCTGGTAGATACCTGCCTATCCCTGTACACGTTGGGGCATTACTCAAAGGATTTGATAGACGCCGCCGAAGAACTGAAGGCCACGCAACATCGCCAGAAAGCACAACCCAAAGTGGACAGCCGGCTAACAGTCCTGCGCTCGGCTGTGGCCATCGAACATCCATCACTGGCAAAATTGAAAACCGAACAGGTGTTCAAGGAGTTTACCCGGGCCCCTGGATATTTGCTCAAGGAACGGACGGACTTTACCAAGTACGCCGAGCAGTTAGGTCTAGATGCTGAGGTGGAGGGCGTTGATCTAGTCTGCCCCATCAGTGGCATCAATATCCCCAGCCTGCGAGTGCAGACAATGGGCGGCCAGGCGAGCGTCTACTTTGTGGAACTACTCACTCCACAACAAACTTTAAGGTTTAGCAAGAAACCCACGTCCTTGATCCGCCTAAAGCAGCGGCTCTTGGAATCCTTAGGTCAAAAAGTTGTTTTGGTAAGTCAATATCCCATTAATCACAACACAGAACATGAACTCAATGTTGTGTTTTACAGCTGCACTCCGGAAATATGGCGACCAGTGCCAAGGAACTTCAAAAGCTCCTACAGCCAGCGGTGGAGAGGATACAAGATACTGAGGTCGTCCAAGGCCTGAGCAACTAAATTGTGTGATATCGAGGCTGATACCAGAGGCTTCATAGGCTAGTTACAGATTGTAGCTTTATTTAACAATGTTTTATGTACGTGTAAATATTATTTAAATATTAATAGCACTAAACGTAATGTTCAACAAAAATGTATAATACAAGGAATGGGTAATGGTAACTGCAGGCTCCCTCTCGCTCATCGGATGGATTTAATCTTGGCCTTGAGCACGATATAGGAAAAGAACCTGAATATGAGGATCATGGCACTCAGTGCAATAACGTCATTCCAGAACTGATCACCGGACATCGTAATCTCCTCCAGAAACTTCTTTGGATACCTTAAAAATATATCGCGACACAGGTGACAAATTAGGGCCCAGATTTTCAAGTGAAAATTCTTGCTATTTACCTGTAGTGGCAATATGGGGCCTCATTGCACGCTAGAACTCCCCGATCTAGTCCGTATATGGCAGATATGAAGCCCTCCAGCCCATATCTCAAATAGGATATGTGACTGCCCCATCGCAAGTAGCTGGGGAGGTCACGTAACGTCACTCCGAAGCCAGCAAACATCATCATGGGAATGGTGAGCACGGGCGCCAAGAATGTCCCATTCACCACATCAAACCAGGCACCTATCATCAGGCCAAAACTGTGGCCTACAAAGACTGTCAGCAAACTAATGGCAAAGAACATCCAGAAGCGAACCCACTCCATGGGCTGGTAGCTCCACAGATAAACGATTGAGGTGAAGAGGAAACAACTGATGATCTTCAATAGAAATAGTTGGAATTGGCAAGGGAACTTTAGATTAGTCCGAGGAGGTACGCACCGATATGGGGAGGTCCACAAGGGTCATGGCAGTATAGTAGGCTTTCATGGAGTACCAACGGTTGAAATGTTCCTTTATCAGAATGGACATCTCAATAGGGACTGTTATTGGCGTAGTGCAGTTCAAAGGAGGAAACGATTAACTTGTACCCTACACCGCTTAGAAAAGCGTAAATATGTACTTACAGGTCAGAACTGTCAACATCATCGTGGTCATCGAGTGGTGCATCAATATGGCAAATAGTAAATTGTAATTATCCAAGACCCGCGATCCTTCGCGACCCGTGTGATCGTACATGGCGCCGAACAGCAGGGCCACAGCTATGTTGACTCCGATGCGGAGATGTGTCATGGTCGTATCCCGCCGCGCCTTTATGTAGCCTCTCCGCAGCAGCACCGAGCACTGGTTCGCGTAGCTGGTGTCCTCTAGGGAGTCGCTCTTGGTGCGCTTGGGAATGGGATACTTTCGCATCAAGGCTTCGGAGCGCAGCACCGCACTGGGATTGTTAAACCATGTCAGACAGCTCCCGTTCTCCGTGGCACTTTTGAGTGTGTCTATCTTGTCATAGCCGTACTCCCCGCAGGCCAGTTCGATGACTAAAGTTGAAGAAGGATATATTAACGTGTCCTTTAAAGGGGTTCTCTTCACTTACTATAATCCGCCGGATTGTGGTACATGGGGCAAGGCAGATCCACGGCATGGAGGAAAGGCACCAGCTTCTCTGTGCCACCCTGGTAGACGCAGTTGCCTGCCGACAAAACGTAGACCTGATCGAATATCTGGAATAGCTTGGCCGTGGGCTGGTGGATTGTGCATATAATGGTACGGCCCTGTGTTGTAAGCTTCTTGAGCAGCTCGAGGACTTTGGTGCAGGAGCTGCTGTCCAAACCACTGTAATGGGGTGAGAAATGGATGAACAACTAGCTTGGACTGACGTAGAGAAGGCGTCCTACGTGGTGGGCTCGTCTAGAAACATCACAGTGGGATTGTTGATCAGCTCCATTGCAATGGATAGCCTCTTCTTCTGACCACCTGACAGGCGCAATGTGAGTGTCTGGTCGTGATCGTACAGACCCAAGAGCAGCAGAATATCTTCGATCTGGAATGAGTAAGTCCAGAATTAAACCTAATCGAACAATTTAATGCTTTGTGATCTTTAAACATACCCGGCTCTCCTTCTCCTCGTAGCTTACGGTATGGCCCAATTTCAGGTCGGCGGCTATATGCATGTTCTCGTTCACCGTCAGCAGGGGCTGAAGACGATCATCCTGTGTTATGTAGCAGGACATACGACGGAAGGATGCTGAAATGAAGAGACCATCAGGAGGCGAACGTTTCCCCAGCAATTCGCACTACTTACGCAAATCGCGTCGTCGACCATTCAGCAGTATGGATCCATCCACGCCGGTGGTCTTGAAACCGGAAAGAGCATCCAGCAAAGTGGACTTTCCCGCCCCCGAGGGACCCATAATGGCAATAAGCTGACTCCCAGGAAACTTTCCACAGACATTATGTAAGATTTCCTTAGATCCTAAAAAGAAAAGTGCAAATAATTGTGCCGTTAGTTAATGCTCTCATAAATGTGCCCATTATCACGTAATAGTGGTTGTCTCTGTGTGAAATTCCGAATACGCTCGAAAGGCCGGTTCTTGAGGGCAATGGGTAACCGGTTCAAAAGCTTTGTTTTTTGGAATTCTAGCATCTGGAAATAGGGGTGAACTACATACTTAACTAGCCCCAAGCACCATTTCAATAGAAGCAGCTTTGATGATGCATTTTATCCTCTCGGGCTAATTAGTAATCCACATGGCAGATCCAACATTAATTAACTGGTTAATAATAATAATATGATAACTCGATAACAGTGGCATGATTTCAATCTATTATTACAGCTCCCAACAGGCATATTATCTTTATACTTAGTATAATTGCTGACACGAGGCGAAGAGTGGCTCCGGATTGGTCAACGCCCTTGGCTGGGGCCCTAATCAAGTTACCAGGGGCAAATCGATGTCGTTGTCGATATCAATGGTTGCTTATTTCTTTGGTTCTTCCTGAACTTTGAAATCGGCAAACATGGTTAGTAAAACCCCGTCCCAGTGTTTACCCAAGCATATCGAATGACATATACTCTTTCCGTTCCCGCATTATGGAGCTGGTTGATTTGAACAGACCTTTGACAGGGTCTCGAATCAAAGGAAGAGAACTTATGAATGACTAACTCTTGCCCTGATAGGCATGCACTGGCAATGGAATAGGAAGCGGCAAAGGGGTAGACAGGGGCTAGGCGCTTATCTAATCGATGGAGAACAAAGTTGGCAAAAGAACTGGCAAGCAAGTGTTTATTGCTGGTTGGTATGTGAGGCATTACCAAAACCAGTAACCTTGGAAGACTCTTCTGCAACATCAATGATTTCGTGTACGACTATACTGGAGGAAGCGGCCTAATCTTGGATATGAACTGGTAATGGGAACGGGAACGGACACAGTCTTTTTTCCGGGGTGCTGCATAAGAAGTAGCCGCTGATCATAAACCGAATACAGTCGTGCCTACGAGCTAATATTAAATAATAACCAGTTGCCAATCTTATCGAGCCATATCTTAGATCATGCGATCGCAGCTCACCGTGATCGTAAATACCCCAGTCCCCGTTTACCTCGGTTGAAGCCCAAGTTCACAGTCAGCGACAGCTCCTTGAACTCAATGTCCACAGGCTCGCGTGCGGGCAAGTTGTTGAGGGCATCCGAGTCGAAGTGCACCTCCTCCTCGGCCACAGACTCCAGGGGCGGCTGCTTGATGGCCGCTGCCCCATTGCTGTAAGCCACTTGAGGTGGACTCGGAGCGGAAGTGGGTGCAGACGAGAAGGTCGTGCTGGTGGCTGTGCTGGTCTGACCATTCCGCCAGCTGCTCGCACTGGTCATCGGCACTGTGGTGGCGTTGTAGACTCTTCCAGAGTCGGCTTCTCCAATCTCTATCCCGAGACCGATGCCAGCGACACCGTCGCCGGCGTTAAAGAACTGCTCCCGCGCTGTCGGCATTCTCTTGGGTCAACTGCAAGACGACAACAAATAGATACATTTTGATTAGCGTTTGGTTTGGTTTTTGGCCAGCGATTAATTGATTGATTGAATAAAGAATTATGCAATCGTGGCATGGCTTGTGCGTGTGCCTTGTCTCTTGTGAGAAACTTACAACCGTTCAAGCTAACCTTCCAGACCAGCCTGGCTGTTTATTGCGATTTTCCCACAAACTGGTTTAATTGCAGCTCATTTTGCACTTTGATCGAACGTTGACGGATCAAGCTCTGCCCGAATCGAATCAACCTTTGAGACTGTCCTCTCCCTTTGTTGCCGATGAAGCTGCCTAAAATTTCTTCCTGATGGGTCCCTGGGAACAGGGGCCGCCGCTCAGCTAATCCCATGCTCATCTGATTCCCCCATCTGAAGAGCTGTCACTGCTGCTGACGAGCAACGAGATCTGAGATGAGTGATGAAACATTTCAATTATCATGCAACAGCCCCAATTAAATGTACATTTACATAAGCGGAAATATAGCACGCAGTTTACTCCACACTTCGCACAGCAGAGCCATTAAATACGAGTATATTTAATGGCAGCACAGATTTTTGCAAAAAGATCAAGGTACAGCCGGGGGCGGCTGCGGCGGGCCAACAATCAAATGCGAATAAAAATGTACAATAGCTGTGACAATCGCTGAATGCCCCCATCTGCCTGTGTTTGCATTGATCTGCTACAATCCGATCTGATGGGATCTGATTCTGATCGAAACAAAAGCATTGTTTCATGTGGACCATTAAGAGCAACTGCAATCGTCGCAGTCGCAGTCGCTGCCGTTGTCGGTGACGAAGCTATAGCTAGTACCACTCGTGTGTGTCATCTTTAACCCGCGGCATCTTATCGCCATCTGGGACTGTGGCGCGAAAACAAAAGCCCCACCACGATCCAAGAGAAGCGCCCGCCCACCGCAGCTGGGACATTTACGTACACACCTATGCTTGGGGGGAGCGTTGCGTTGGGAAAGGTAAGCATCGCTAATGAGGACTGCACTTGAATCCACGTAAACAGTTATCAGCTGTCCGCTGCAATTACTGCCCATGTCAATGCCCCAAGAAGCAGCGGCAGCCCCTGGAGGTCTGGCTAGGTCTAAGCCCGAACCGAAGGGTGGGGCTCGACCTACACTACTCGAGAGTGACGTTGACGGGTCTTAATCAGTTGTATTTCACTATTGATTGATACGAGTGTTGTCTCCCTCGTTGTCACGTTTTGCCGGACTTGCTGTTTTCTTGGTCCCTCCAAGTCTTATTTAGACATGATTTCCTTTGTT